TTAGTGCATGGGTCAAAACTCAATCACTGAGCCACACTGGCAGGGCAAACATTTTTTTTTCTATTTTACCTTCAGATAAGATAGAGTAGGAAAGAGAGAGATAAACATGGAAGTGAGAGGGACACATCCACTGGTTGCCTCCCGCAAGACCCCGACCAGGGGGGACGAACCACAACTGAGGTTTGTGCCCTTGGCCTGAATCAAACCGGCGATTCACTGATCTGTGGGTCGACGCTTTAACCACTGAGCAAATCGGCCAGGGTGGTTTTATTTTTTTTTTTTTTTTTTAATGAAGCTTGTAAGCAAAAGGAAAGCCCCTTGAGGTGGCACACCTAGGCAGTTTCATTCCTTAAGACTTCTAGTTCCTTCCTGGGTTTAAAAATCCATTGAAACCAGATTAACATGTTCTGTTCTCATTCCTCTGGCTCAATGGCTTTCCCTCCACCCACTGCTCCTGGGGCTGGGCCCTGGGGGTAGGAGCAGTTTGACATCTTCACCCTCTTACACAGCCCTTATGGCCACTGGACACCAATTTGCTCAAAGGATTCTCTCATTTTAAGTGTGCATATGATCTGGTCATTTTCAGTAAATTGACCATGTTGTGGCCCTTAGCTCCCTCCTATTTAGAATGATTCTTTTTTTTCCCCCTTTATTGATTTTAGAGAGAGAGGAAGGGAGAAGGAGAGAGAAACACGATGAGAGAGAACATCGACTGGCCACCTCCTGCATGCCCCACACTGGGGATTGGGCCCACAACCTGGGTATGTGTCCTGACTGGGAATCAAACCGGTGACTTCTTTGTGCATGGGTTAATGCTCAAGCACTGAACCACACCGCTGGACAGCTTTTACTGATTTTAGAGAGAGAGAGAGACATCAATAAGAGAGAACATCAGCTGGCTGCCCCCACACCCCCTTAAAACACTCCCTCCACAAGAGGGGATTGAGCTGGCAACTGGGGCACATGCCCTAACTGGGAATGAAACCGGTGACGTATCAGTGTGCTCAATCTGCTTAGCCACATGGGCTGGGCACCATTAATGATTTAGTGATTTTATTATTATTATTTTTTTAGATAGAGTAGAAGGAAGGGAGGGAGGGGAGAGAAACAGAGAGAGAGAGAGAAACATTGATGTGAGGAAGACACATTGATTGGTTACCTCCTACATGACCCTGACCAGGACCCAAGGCCCAGGGCCAGGGTTGAACCTGCAACCCAGGTATGTGCCCTTGACCAGAACTGAACCTGAAACCCTTCGGTCTGCAGGCCAACACTGCAACTGCTGCGCCAAACCCCATTAACAATTTTAAAGGCTGATTGAGAGGATCTGGTACCTTCTCTCCCTTGCCTGCATGGAAGCTTGTCATCTGCCCTGGCTGGGTAGCTCAGATGGTTAGAGTGTCTTCCCCATATGCCAAGGTTGCAAATTTGATCATAGATCAGGCCACATACAAGAATCATCCAATTGCCCAGCCTGTCTTGCTAAGTGGCTGAGCATTGACCCATGCACCAAGAGGTCGCCAGTTCAATTCCCGGTCAGGACATATGGCCAGGATGTAGGCCAAACCCCCAGTGGGTGGCATGCAGGAGGCGGCCAATCCATGTTCTCTCTCATTGATGTTGATATTTCTATCTCCCTCTCCTCTCCCTTCCTCTCTCTCTAAAATCAATAAAGAAGCCCTGGCTGGTTTGGCTCAGAGGTTAGAGCATTGGTCCACAAATCAATGAGACCTGGGTTCGACTCCAGCCAAGGGCATGTACCTCAATGTTTCTCTCTCCCCTCCTTCCTTCCTTGTACTCTATCTAAAAATAAATGGAAAAATAACCTCGGGTGAGTATTAAAAAATAAAATAAAATCAATAAAAAAAATTAAGAAAAAAGAATCATCCAATGAATGCATAACTAAGTGGAACAACAAATTAATGTTTCTCTTTCCCATCTTCTCTTTCTATAACATCAATAAATACGCACACACAGAAAAGCATTCTGGCCCTGGTCACTGGCTCAGCAGTTAGAGCCTTGGCCTGCAGATCAAAGAGTTGTGGGTTTGATTCTGGTCAAGGGCAGGTACCTTGGTTGCGGTTTGGTCTCCAGCCCTGGTTGGGTCATGCAGGAGGCAACTAGTCAATGTGTTTCTCACATTGATGTTTCTCTCTCCCTCCCTCCCTCTCACTTTATCTGAAAATAAATGGAAAAGTATCCTCAGGTGAGGATTTAAAAGAAAAAAAGAAAAGAAAAAAATAGCTGTTTCCCACCCATCTATTCCCACCTGGAACCCTTGAAATGAGAAAAAGATCATGCCATTCCTCACTACAATTAAAGAACAACCCAGCCAAAAGCCAGGTGGTGCAGTGGCTGTGTTCATTACCACACAGCAGGAGGAAGACCCAAGTTCAAGTGTGGTCCACAAGGGACTGTGTGTACAAACAGAAGGGTATGTGTGTGATTGGGACCCACACAACAAGGGACACACAGAGCCACATGGATGTGGCCTCAGGAAAGAAGCCAGACACTGATGTGTAAACCCTGTGTGGTTCCTAAGTCAAACTGGCCAGGGCTTTTTTTTTTTTTTTTTTAAACATCTTAAAATTATTATTTAGAGACAGATGAAGGAAGAGTGAGAGAGAGAAACATTGATTGGCTGCCTCCTGCACACATGCACCCGGACAGGGCATGTGTCCTGACTGGGAATCGAACAAGCAACCTTTTGGTGCACAGGACAATGCCCAACCAGCTGAGCCACACCAGCCAGTGCTCACTCCTCAAGTCTTGACTGCAAAGCCAGACTACTGACAGTTTCCAGTGGTCCATGACTGGGAAGGGTGAGACACTGCAAAGGGTCGACAGGTGCACAGGGGATGAGAGCATAAGGTGACACAGATTGCTCTTCGGTGTGGCCTACTGCAGGGGCAGAGCCAACTGTAGTAGTGCCACACACCTGTGGACCTCTGGATACGCTGACTCCTCAGAGAGGACCTCTGCGTGAGGCTTCTGCCCTGGCTATGCCCACTCTAGCTCAGCCAGTCCTGGGATGCCCACTTGTGCTCCTGAGCGTGGTTTCCCGTTGATCCCCTCATCCCTAAAGCTGTCTTGGCATTTCCAGATACCTTGGTTTCCCCATTTAGACAAGGGGGCTGGCAGTGGCCCAGCTCAGGTGGTAAGGTGTCTCTCCAAGGCCTGCTGCTGGCCCTCTGCTTGTGTGGCTGGTATGTACTAGAAGGAAAGGTCCTGGGCCCAGAAGGAGGAAGAGGGGAGGGGCTGTTTAGAGAGGGGCAAGGGCTGTGGCAGGACCAGTTGCTAGTCTAGTGAAGGGCCTGTATATAATAGGGGAAACCAGGTAGCTGTCCAGCCCCCTCTAAGCACCTTCTACCACTCCTCACTGAACGGCTCCCTAAGTGCCTGGTTAATCTCAGGGCCTTTGCACTTCTTCCTGCCTGAACTGTCCTTCCTGCAGGTGTGGGGTTAGCCCCTATGGGCGTCTCCTCATACACTCTTTACCATTACCTTCTTATTTCGATTCTCTGTTCCCAAACCCCCCTTCTGCTACACCCACCCCAGCGCGCAATCGGGTTATGGAATGTCTAGCATATATTACTAAAGGATGCCACACCTCAAAAATAAATAAATAAATAAATAATAAATAAATAATAAATAAATAAATAAATAAAGGATGCCACACCTCATCCAGTGCGTTGCCAGGCAGCAACTTTCCTTCCCAGATATCTGAGGAAGGAAGCAAGGGTCTAGCCTGGGCCTTGGGGCAGCTGCCAAGAGGGGCGGGCCCGTCGGGGGCGGGTCCCCGAGGCTCGCTGTTGAGGGGGCGGGGCCGCGCCAGGGCTGGAACAAAGGCCGACGTGGAGACAAAGCCCCGCGGCCCTCAGCCCCGCCGGGAACAAAAGCCACACCCGGCCCGAGAGCGCCGGGCACACCTCCGCCACCACGTGTGTGCGCCGGAGCATCCCGGGGGAGGGGGGCGGCTGCGCCTGCGGCCCCGCGGCTTCGGGTGTGCAAGCCCGGGAACCTGGGCAGGGTCAGGGCCTGGACGCGCAGGTCCTGCAGCTCAGCATCCATCCCAGGGCCGATTCCTTCGGGCAGGATTCTCCCCCAACCCCATTTTTTCCTTGGAATCCGGCAGCGTCGAGGTTCGGTTCGCTCGCCCGGGAAAGCATAGCCAATCTGCTGCTCTGTAATCTCTTGGGAACTGTTGGGTTTAGGCAGGTTCCAGTGTTTTTCTCGTTAACAACAATATTAAAAACCCCAAAGTCAGCCTCTCGGACCCACTGCCTTCTGGGACGGGGACCCCCTCCCCCCAGCCCCTCTCCGCCACCCGGCGTCTCCTCCACGTCCCGGCCCCGCCCCGTCTCGCGAACGCCTGTGACGCAGCGACTGGAGACGTCTCCCGGCCTTAGAAGGGGCAGGGATTGAAGTGTAGGACCCGACTGTCCACAGGCGTGGGCAAAACAGCGGCCGGACCTTGGGGCGCCCCGCCCACGAGCTGGGTTGCGGCGATGACATCACAGATGCCACGCCCCTGCCTCGCAGGCCCCGCGGAGGTGGTGTAGACGAAAGTGGGAGGAACTCGCTCAGGCGCATGCGTACTTGTGTGCTGGTTCGCAGCGACTGGTCTGGGTCCGCCCCCGCCGCAAGCCTCCCAGTGCGCGTGCGCGGCGGCGTCGGCGCCAGTTATTTCTGTCCCGCCCCCCGGCCTCAGCTCTTTCTGCGAGTGGGCGCGCGGGCAGGCGGCTGTTCGCGTGGCGTGTGTTGTGGGTCTCCGCTGCCACTGAGGAAGAAGCGCGGGCGGCGGCGGCGGCGGCACCCGAGCAGGCAGAAGCCGACCGGTCCTCGGCAGCGCCCCGCGCGCAGCGGGCGGCGGCCCAGGCGGTGCTCGGCAGCGCTCGGCCTCGCGGCGGCGATCCAGCCGTTGGCGGCGAGCCCGTTTGCGCCTGCGCGGCGGGCACAGAGCCCCTCCTCCCCCCCTGGGCGCCCCCGGCGGCGTGTGAATGGCGGCCTCGGCGGCAGCGGCCTCCGCGGCGGCGGCGACAGCCGCCTCGAGCAGCCCAGGTCCGGGCGAAGGCTCGGCGGGTGGCGAGAAACGCGCCCCCGCTGCGGCCGCGGCCGCAACTTCGACTGCGGCCTCGGCCTCGGCCTCGGCCTCCGCCTCCGCCTCGGCGTCGTCGCCCGCTGGGGGCGGCGGCGGCGAGGCACTGGAGCTGCTGGAGAACTGCGGCGTGTGCCGGGAGCGTCTGCGGCCCGAGAGGGAACCGCGCCTGCTGCCTTGCCTGCACTCGGCCTGCAGCGCCTGCCTCGGGCCCCCGGCGCCATCCACCGCCAACAGCTCGGGGGAGGCCGGGGCGGCGGGCGACGGGGCCGGTGAGTCGTGGAGGGCCCCTCCCCCACACTCCGCCTTCGATTTCGTCTGCGGGCGCAGGATGGGGCTTGCTTTTAAGCGTGGCCTTGGTGTATGGTCGCCTGTGCGCAAGGATAGTGACCTGGGAGCGCTGGGTCGGATGGGGTGCGCATAGTGGGATGTCCGCCGTGCGTTGGGATGGGGCTTCTGTTTCTAGTTTGGTAAAAGAGTTTGGCTCCTGCTGTGGGAGGTGAGGGGTGGCGCAGCTTCACGGGGCCGAGATTGGGTCCAGTAGGTGGATGGGGGTATATTCTGCGCACAAACATGAGATGATTTTATTGGTTCCCACTCTTCGCAGTCGTGGACTGTCCTGTGTGCAAACAGCAATGTTTCTCAAAAGACATTGTGGAGAATTATTTCATGCGCGACAGTGGCAGCAAGGCTCCCACTGACTCCCAGGATGCGAATCAGGTATGTCATGCCTTAGCAACCCCCAGGATGCCTTGGCCATGGGGAGGGAGTAGTAGTTCAGGGACATGTTTAACCAGTTCCAGGCTTTATTCTCCTTGCACTGTGAGGCTCTAGGCAGGCTGTAAAGGCACCACCTTACCTTAAACTTTTTGGGATGTAACCGCGGCCCGTTTTGCTTGTTTCCTGATTTTGTCTTTGCCTAGCAGTGCTGCACCAGCTGTGAGGATAACGCCCCAGCTACCAGCTACTGTGTGGAGTGCTCCGAGCCGCTGTGTGAGACTTGTGTGGAGGCACACCAGAGGGTGAAGTACACCAAGGACCACACTGTGCGCTCCACTGGTATGCAAAGTGGAAGGAGTGGCTCGGGTTGCTATAGTACATCTTCTGTTCATGATGCGGTTGCAGATTGTGGATGGGCCTCTGGAGCTTCTCTAGGGGGCACTACCTGAAAGTTCAGGTGGCAGAATTGGGGACACTGGGGCTCCGATACCTAGTCTCTGCTGGTCTAGGTGGGAGGGGAAAGGCCATAGGCGGGGGGGGGGGGGGGAGTACTACGGGGGACCTCAGTGTGTCAGTGGTTGTACAGAGGATCATGGAAGCTCAACAGGGAAGCCTCCAGGTAGGGGGTAGATCCCAGTGGTGGGGGAACTAGTACATGCAGGTAATGAAATGAAAGGTCTCTGGGAAAGGATGTGAGGGGCTGCTTTGACCTGGGTTGCCTGGCACCTGGTTTAGACTCCAGGAGAAAGGCTTCTGGGCCACAAGCTGTGAGAACCTTCAGGCTACTACTGACAATGAGTCCTGAAAGTGTTTGTTCTGGGGTTGTAGATGCTTTAAAGTTCAGTTGGGTTTATATGTCTTTCTGTGAGTGTGCTGGCAGTGGTATGAGGACAGGCTTGATAGTTTTCTGAATCTGTCTAGGTTTTTGGTAGGCTTTTGGTAGTTACACTGTGGCTACTTCAGCTCAGAGGAAGATGAGAATGGAGGTGGTGGTTGTGGGGCATGGAGCCCCAGGAGGGAAGGGCAGAGGTCTGCAGGGGATCTAGAGTTTTAGGCACAGGTTAGGGTGCAGGAGGAGGCAATATTGGAGGAGCTGAGATCTGGTCTATCTTAGGCTGGATTGGTATAGTCTTGATGTTTTTGGTTTTGGAAAGGAAAGTGGAACAGACTACCAAGAAACTTTTTTTTTTTTTTTTGCCTTCTATTGATTTTAGAGAGAGGAAGGGAGAGGGAAAGAGAGATTGAAACATCGATGACAGAGAAAATCGATTGGCCATCTCCAGCATGTTCCCCCAACTGGGGATTTGGCCCGCAACCTGGGCATGTGCCCTGACAGGGAATCGAACCAGCGATCTCTTGGTGCACGGGGCAACGCTTAACCACTGAGCCACACTGGCCGGACCCAAGCAGCTTTATAATGGTGACAGGCTGTGAGGTGGGACAGGAGGGCGTCCACATGGTAGTATATTGTTTGAGTTGTATAAGTGAGTACCCAGGATCCTCTACAGAAGTGGGGCGTGGTACCTTTCTGAGGATCCTGGTTTGACACCTCATCTCTCCCAGTGTGAGAAGGCTCTGCAAGGCCCCTTGTGGGCCTGTGGGTTGCTGAGGTCCATGGCCTTCTCTTACCAGGAGGAGAGAGGTGGTCACCAGGCATGGCTCCTGAGGAAACACTTTGAATAGTGTCTCTAGGCCCTGATTTGCTTTCTGTGTGCCAGGAAGGAAGTATTCTTTGTGCTGAGATACCACAGTAGCCAGTATTCACTCTCCTGCTGGACCGAACCTGCTGTGAGTAGAGAAGGGGAGGCTGAGTTGGAAGGGTTTGGAGGCAGAGAAGCTCTGCAGTGTCCACCTGGCGAAAGTTCCAATAGAGAGAACAGCAGGGGTAGGTTTCCTGCCAAAGGTCATCATTCTCACACTTATCACTTCCAGAAGCTGGAAGTGGGCCTGACCTGTGTGGGGGTGTGTGTCTCTTGGTTAGGCTTGGGGCAGAGTTTTGAGAGCAAGGATCTAGCCTCTGGGACTTGGTCTCTTCCCTGACCAGTGCTGCAGGGCATTCTGGGTTTCATAATAGATAGCCCAGGGTTGCAGTACAGGCAAGGAGTGAGGCTGAGTTGGAGGTACTGAGGAAGAGCTCTGTCCTTATGGTACCCCTTCCTCAGGGCCAGCCAAGTCCCGAGATGGTGAACGCACAGTGTATTGCAATGTGCACAAGCATGAGCCCCTCGTACTGTTCTGCGAGAGCTGCGACACCCTCACTTGCCGGGACTGCCAGCTCAATGCTCACAAGGACCACCAGTGAGTCCTGAGGCGAGGGTAGGGGCAGGGGCCCTGCCTGTTCCCATGCTCAGTGCCCAGGCCTATCTCTGTCTGCCTTCAGATACCAGTTCCTGGAGGATGCAGTGAGGAACCAGCGCAAGCTCTTGGCCTCACTGGTGAAGCGTCTTGGGGACAAGCACGCAACACTGCAGAAGAACACCAAGGAGGTTCGCAGCTCGTAAGTGGATGCCAGTGCCATAGGGATGTCCCCAGGTGAGCACCTGCCCGAGCAGACCTGATGTGGCCCGCCTTCCCCCTAGGATTCGCCAAGTGTCCGACGTGCAGAAGCGTGTACAGGTGGATGTTAAGATGGCCATTTTGCAGATCATGAAGGAACTGAACAAGCGAGGCCGAGTGCTGGTCAATGATGCCCAGGTACACCTGTGGGTAGGGTCCTGGGCACGCATCCTTTGCTGGCTACTGCTGTTATCCTTGAATGGGGAGGAATTCTCAGGCCCACTTTCCTCCTGACACCTCCTTCTTGTACCTGCAGAAGGTGACTGAGGGGCAGCAGGAGCGCCTGGAGCGGCAGCACTGGACCATGACTAAGATTCAGAAGCACCAGGAGCACATCTTGCGCTTTGCCTCCTGGGCCCTGGAGAGTGACAACAACACAGCTCTCCTGCTCTCCAAGAAGTTGGTGTGTGTTGGGGGTGCCTGGGTGGTGGCTTGCAGGAACCTTGGTCACTGCCTGTGAGCTCACGCACTGTCCCGTCCCCAGATCTACTTCCAGTTACACCGTGCCCTAAAGATGATCGTGGACCCTGTGGAACCCCAGGGCGAGATGAAGTTCCAGTGGGACCTCAACGCCTGGACCAAGAGCGCTGAGGCCTTCGGTGCGTCCTTGTCTTCCTCTTGCTGCACCTTGCCATCCTTCCAGGAACTGTTATTTATGTGTTTTTCCTGCAGGCAAGATTGTGGCAGAGCGTCCTGGCACCAACTCAACAGGCCCTGCGCCCATGGCCCCTCCACGGGCTCCAGGGCCTTTGAGCAAGCAGGGTTCTGGCAGCAGTCAGGTGAGCAGGGGAAGGGGGGACCCTGTGGGGAGGAGGGGGTGTGGTCCTCTGGGATGCCTACCCACTTAAGTCCAACCTGCTTTGTCTGCAGCCCATGGATGTGCAGGAAGGCTATGGCTACATGTCAGGTGAGTGGGTCTGGTGTGCCCGTAGATGGGAGAGCTCCCGTGCTCTAGCTCCACCCATCTACTGTCTTCTCTGTTTTCCGAGTAGATGATCCTTACCTGAGTGCGGAGCCCCATGTGTCAGGCATGAAACGGTGAGTGTGCTGTCTTTTGGATACAAGTGGGCATAATGATGGGGGTTTGGTGTTCACACCAAGCTGCACCTACAGGTCCCGCTCAGGTGAGGGTGAAGTGAGTGGCCTCATGCGAAAGGTACCCCGGGTGAGCCTTGAGCGCCTGGATCTTGACCTCACGGCTGACAGCCAGCCGCCAGTCTTCAAGGTCTTCCCAGGCAGCACCACCGAGGATTACAACTTGATTGTTATTGAGCGTGGGGCTGCAGCTGCTGCTGCTGGACAGCCTGGGACTGTACCTGGAGCCACCGGTGTCCAGCCCCTGCCAGGCATGGCCATTGTTAAGGTGAGTCTGCCCTTAATGGACTGTGGCTTGCAAATAACATTTGACGCCTGCACCCTGCTGAATCCCTAGCGTTTCCTTTTAGGAGGAGGAGACAGAGGCCGCCATTGGAGCCCCACCTGCTGCCACTGAGGGCCCTGAAACCAAGCCTGTGCTGATGGCCCTGGCAGAGGGTCCTGGTGCTGAGGGCCCCCGCCTGGTCTCACCCAGTGGCAGCACCAGTTCTGGCCTGGAGGTTGTGGCTCCGGAGGGCACCTCAGCCCCAGCTGGTGGCCCGGGTGCCCTGGATGACAGTGCCACCATCTGCCGTGTGTGTCAGAAGCCAGGTGACCTGGTCATGTGCAACCAGTGCGAGTTCTGCTTCCACCTGGACTGCCACCTGCCGGCCCTGCAGGATGTGCCAGGGTGCGAGGCTGTGGAATATAGGGGCCAGGGATGACGGGGGGGGGACAGGTCCTGCGCAATTCTTCACTCTCGTCTCCTGTAGGGAGGAGTGGAGCTGCTCACTCTGCCACGTCCTCCCTGACCTGAAGGAGGAGGATGGCAGCCTGAGCCTGGATGGTGGTGACAGCAGTGGTGTGGTGGCCAAGCTTTCCCCAGCCAACCAGCAGGTCAGGGTGGGGCCACTTCCTTGGTTGCCCAGTAGCTGCATGTACCCCCCACCCTCCACCATGGCTCTAACTTGTCCTCCCTCTACTGCCCTCAGAAGTGTGAGCGTGTCCTGCTGGCACTGTTCTGCCATGAGCCATGCCGGCCCCTGCACCAGCTGGCAACTGACTCCAGCTTTTCTGTGGTGAGTCCTGGGACAAGGGTAGGCAGGGCTTCCGGCCTGGCCTCATCTTCAGCCTGTGTGTGCTCTGCCTTGTAGGATCAGCCTGGTGGTACTTTGGACCTGACCCTGATTCGCGCCCGTCTCCAGGAGAAGTTGTCACCCCCCTACAGCTCTCCTCAAGAGTTTGCCCAGGATGTGGGCCGTATGTTCAAGCAGTTCAACAAGCTGACAGAGGTGAGTCTTTGGAGGGGCTTGGGCTGGGGCTGGGGCCTGGGGGAGAGTGAGAACCCATCTCCTGAATGTTCCTGTCCAGGACAAGGCAGATGTCCAGTCAATCATTGGCCTGCAGCGCTTCTTTGAGACTCGCATGAATGAGGCCTTTGGTGACACCAAGTTTTCTGCTGTGCTGGTGGAGCCTCCGCCACTGAGCCTTCCTGGTGCCAGCCTGAGTGCCCAGGAGCTGTCCAGTGGCCCTGGTGATGGCCCCTGAAGCTTTGAACCAGCTCAGCCTGGATCTGTTCTATCACCCCCGTGCCCTTCCCTCTGGTGGTTTGGCTCCTACTCCTTGGTAGCCCCATTCCCCAGCCCCTCACAATACGGTTTTTACTTCTGTGGATTTAATAAAAACTTCACAAGTTCCTCAGGCCTTGGTTGGTGGGGACAGTGTTCCTGGGGCCTGGTCTCTACATCTATTCTCCCCAATCTGTGGTGGGCTGAGTAGGGTCAGTTGTCTCCAGCCATTTGGGTATCCAGGGGGTTGGGAGGAGCAACCATCCCTCTTGGACCCCTGTGGTATATGGGGAGCACCTCAGGAGGTATTTGGGAAGGTGCACACACAAGGCTGTGTGCCCTGTAGGTGGGCAGGATGAAGCATCAGTTGTGTGCCATCTGGTGGTCATGTTCCTGCACTTGGTTGTAACCATTTCTATGAGCTGGGTGGGCTGAGACTCCTATTGGGCCAAGCCGAGTTGGGCACTATATACCTGGCAGACAGGCCTGAACTCATCCCAGGAGCCACCCATCTTGGGAGTGATAGTATTGAGGCTGAGATACTGGAGGCGGGAAGAGGTTGTTCATCCCTGCCCTCCACCAGATCATTTGGCACTTGATCTCTTGACAGGTCTGCTGACCCGCCCAACATTGAGAGCCCCGAGTGACTTCTGCCCAAGGGACCCCAGTCTGGCCTACACAAGGCCAGTCACATAGGCTCAGGAACTAGTGTCCAATCTCTTTTATTACAGAAAGGGTACAGTGAAAATGCATCCACTGGGCCCCTGGGGTGGCCCAGAGCAGTCAGTCCCTCCGCAGGTTCTTGAGCCTTTCCTCCAGGTCTGCATCAGCATCCACCAGGGCTGAGGCTGCAGGCTCTGCTTTCTTCCCACTGGCAGCCACACTGAGTGAGCCTCCGGTGGAGGGCAGGTCTGCAGGGAGAGGGAATTAGAGCCCATGTAGGAGCAGGAGGGAGGGGTTGGGGGGGGTGTCAAAGCCCAAGATTTGGAGCACTCACTGGAAAGCTCATCTGTCAGGCTCAGTCCCAGCTCATCCAGGACTTGGGATACAACAGCATCACTGGGATAGAGAAGAGGAACTATGAGGGTTAATCCTCTGTGAGGTCCAGGCCTCTATTCCTACCCTTGCACCTGGTGTCCACAAACCTCTCCTCTTCATCTTCTTCATCACCCATGGCATCATCAATGGCATCATTCATCATCTCCTCCTTCATGTCCATGATCTCTGCCTGCCTCTCAAACTCCATCATGATCTTCTGGATTTGGGGCAACTTCAGCTGCAAGTGGGGGGAGGGTGAGTGTGGTACCTGAGGTTTGGGGGTAGTGAGGGGTATGGGAAAAGACTCACCTGTCTGTTCATGGTGCCCATGGCCTTGGTGACCCCCTTCATGGCTTGTGCCATTGAGTTGTTAGACTTGAGTGTCTGGATCTTGAGAGAGACAGCCTGGATATTGGCCCGCATCAGCACAAACTTCCGCACATAGCGACGTGTGCGCACCAGGTCCTTTGCCATGATGCGAACAGCATCCTGAGGGAGCAAAGGTGGCAGGGATCCACAATTTACACAGAGAACTTCAGAGACCTCCATGTTGCTAAACCGCTCCCTCCCAGCCATTCCGTCGGGTTCTCACTTCCCTGACCCTGTCTGGAGTCCCTCCATTGACTTCACAACCATTCCTGACTTTCCATCCTGGGCAAAAAAATCTGCCTCCCCCTCTACTTCATTGTAGGCGTGCGAGTTTTCAACTTACCCAAATCACAGTTGTTGTTACCAAATCTCTTATTGGCCTTCCCCATCCCAGGAAATGGCATCACTTCAACCCAGCTGCTTAGGCCCAAACCCATCACCCACCTGGGCTCTGCTCACTACTGGTTCAGGCAGACTCCTCTCAGCCTGCAGGTCAGAATACTCCAGGCCATGTCTCCTGCAGTAACTCCTTCACCTCCCCTTCTACAGAGCTCACCTATGACTTTCTCTCATCTAGTATTGCTTGGATCTCCACCGTCTCTTTTTTTCTCACCAAGGTTTGCCTCTGATACCACCTCCTGGGAGGCAGCCTTTATGAACCCCCAGCTTAGGGAAGCCTTGTTCACCCTTCACTCCACTTCCCTCAAAGCACCTATCTGTTGGTGTCCTGTCTATGCTGCTTGCTGTCCTTAGCAGTGCCTGACCAGCATATGACCTAGCCCTGTGTTGCAGCCCCTGCCCAACTGAGCTCACCATCTGGCCCTGCTTCGCCATCTTTTTGATGTCTGCAATGATTTTCTTCTCCTGGGTCTCTAGCTTCTGCCGCTCACGGTCCAGCTCTCTCATAGCGCGGTTCAGGGCCCGTTGGTTCTGCCTCAGCAGCTCCTCCGGCGTTTTCCGGCGCCCAAATAACAGGTCCATGACGTCAGAAGCAAGCCAGTGGGCCTGGGACAAGTGCGAAGTCTATATGTGGGTTGGTATGGGGCCCAGAAAGGTGGCAAGAGTCAGTATATATGGAAGCGCGGGGCAGCTGGAGGTGTACAAAACTAGAAGAGGTGGCCCTGGCTGGTTTGGCTCAGCGGTTAGAGCGTCGGCCTGCGGTCCAGAGAGACCTGGGTTCGGTTCCCTTTAAGGGCACATACCTCGGTTGCAGATTGTCCCTGACCCTGATTGGGCCGTGCGGGTGGCAACCACTCGATGTGTCTCTTTCACATCGATGTTTCTCTCTCCCTCCCTCCCACTCTATCTGAACAAAATATGGAAGTGTCCTCCGTTGAGGATTGGAAAAAAAACCAACACAAAAAACGAGAAGGGGTGAACAGGCAGAGGAGGCGGGAATGGAAAGCCAAAGGAATGCAGCCAGAAATATCAGGGTACCCCCAGGGATACAGTGGAGACAGCCAGGCCCAAAAGCTATCACACTGTTGTTCCCACCCAGCTCCTCCAATACAGTGCCCCACCGAGGCTGAAGGCTTCGGCCTCCCTCTCCGCGGGGATGGGGAGGCGCCCTGTTCTCTCTATTGGATGGAGACGAGGTGGACGGTTGGGGAGTACACGAGGGTATTAGGGACCCTGAATACTAGGAGGACAGTAGTGGGGGCTCCTTACGAGAGGGCAAAATACGTGGAGACCCCGAGTGCCAAGCTGACAGCATATGGACGGAATTAGGATTGGGAGACCCTGAACGCTGAGGGTACCTGGTGCAGAAAGTACACTTGGACGGGCGTCGGGGACCCCAGTACACCGATGGGAGGGTGGGCAGTGGGGCTCTTGTCTAACCAGGGTCTGGGCGGTGGGGGCCCCGCGTACCGAGAACAAGGAGGCGACTGGCCCACGGACAGTGAGGCCAGGGTCCCGGGAAAGGCGAGGCTGCCCAAGATCCGGGAGAATACCTTGGTATCGGGCCGCCCACGCGCACACCCGGGACCCGAGGCCCAGCAGGGACCACTCACCGAAGCTGGGACGGGGACCGGCTTCCGCTTCCGGGTTACGAGTCTCTTGCTGGGATCTCTGTTGCGCCTACCGACGACAGCCCCTCGGTTCTGTGGCTTGTGCCGTCGCCGCCGTTTCCGGATTAAACAACCTGACGTCAAAGGCCCCGCCTGTATCCCGAACGCGGGGAGGTGGCAAGAGCACGCGGGCGCACGCGCTCTGCCACTGGCCGGCGCCCACGCGCATGCGCACTGTTTTCCGTTTCCCCGCAGTAGGCAGGAAGGTGTGCACAGGTTCTCGTCCCGCCCCTGGTAGCCGAGCCACGCCCAGAGTAGTGGACTGAGGCAGAGCCGGTGCGCCTTCCAATACCCGCCACCCTCACCTCCGGATCCCAGAGGCCCTAAATCCCACCATATCACCCACCAGAGGACCCAGTTCATTCAAGGGACTCTGACCATTCTCTGACGTTTACAGACCTCAGGCACTTGGTAGCACCAGGCAGGGCTCTCCTCCACTGGTCTACTCATGGCAGAAGGGGGCAGCAGTGGGTGGTGCTACTTTCCCCATAGTTGGTTTACTAGCGAGAAATCTACTGGTAACTGGATCCCACCTTTTCTTCACCAGAGTGGAATCATCCCACCCAGCCTTCAACACTGGGAACACTACTGAGGGGTGCCCCAAGTGCTACCTGGGACCACACTCGTTACAAGAGCCCTGGTGGACATCACCAGTCCCTCCCACCCCACAGAAGGAAGAGGCAGAGGCCATGCAGTAACATTACCCTTTAATAGCCTGGTGGGACCTCCAGTGGTGGAGGAATGGGGTGGCAGAGCCCCAGCCACCCAGTCCCCTTGGCCACCCACCCCAGAGCCCAGAGTGGGAGGCTGGATGGCACCCAGCGGGGCAAGCCAATTCATTTCCCATCGCTGAGCGGGTCGGGAGGAGGCTGCGTGCCGACCTTAATCACATGGTGGTTAAAAAAAAAATAACTAGGAGCCGGTGGCAGGAAGGGGAGGCAAAGGCAGGGCATGGGATTACCCTACCTGCTGTCCCAATCCCCCCACCTGTGGCCCCCAATAAATATTTGCAGGGGACGCCGGGGCTGGTGGCCCTGGCAGGGGTGGGTGCTTGATGACCCTATTTCAGGCAGCGCTCAAAATAGGTGGAGCCGATGTAGCCACCCCGCATGGAACGCTGCACGTTCTGCTCAAACAGACGCCGGTTGTTCTGCAGGACCTCAGCAGCTTCCTTGTTCAGTGGGTCTTCAGGGTTGGGCTCCTGTGGCCAGTATGGGTGGGGGTCAACAGGCCCAAAGGGCAGAAGAGCCAACCTCTCCAGGCCTTACCCACCAACCCCTACTCACCAAGAAGAGATACTGCAGGCCATAAATTATGGAGTTTATCGTAAGGACTGGTTTCCAATCCTCTCTGTGGGTAGAGAGCATCAGGTTCAGGGGCTGATGGGTGGGAAGCTGCCACAGCCCTGCTAGGACTCGACAGGTCAGGCCCAGGGCACAGGACAGTTCAGATGTAAGGCTAGCGGGTGGGTGCCAAGCAGCACAGGCCAGGGATAAAGCCAGGCCATGAGGAAGAAAGCATGGAAATGAAGAGACACAGGGGCACATGACCACAGAGGGAGGAAAGGGATGGACACTGGTTCAGTGCAAGGTCATGAGGGGGCCTGGCAGGCAGGGCTGGGGAGAACAGTGGAGAGACAGTGCGTTCACCTGAGGATGTTGAGGCAGACGTTGCCCTCGAGGTCAATGTTGGGATGATAGACCATCGTCTCACACTTCACCTTGGGGGGGTCATGCGGGTAACCCTGGCCCACCTGGCTCCAGGAAAAAAGAGAAGGTGGATAGGTGCCCTGGTAGTTCCTGGCTGGGGCCTGAGCTGTTGCCTCTTCAGCCCAGGGAGCCACCCCTGCCCATCTGAGACTCACCTTAAAACTGAACACAAACTTCCCGCTCTTGTAGAAGCCCTGCAAGGGGAGAGAAGAGGAGGACCTTAGGGCTCTAACCTGCAGGGCCTGGCCGGTGAACCAGGTCTCCCTACTCAAGATGAGGCCACTTGCCCAGCCAGTGCCTGGACATCTAGCTGAGTGTGCCCTCACCTCATCAGGACAGATAACCAGCTTGAAGTTGAGGAGGTCGTCCGGATCTGAGAAGCTGATATCACAGGTCTTGGGCAGGTTCAGCTCGTTTATGTCTGGGTTTGCACACAGCAGAGAAAGAGAACAAAGAGGGAAAAGGGGGAGAAGAGAGGAGGGTGCTCAGGGTAGGTGCAGATACCAGCAGAACCCCCATGGCCTCCTGTAGGACTCTAAGGCTCTATCCTGGGCTGTGCCCCACATCCCCAACCCTCTCTGCTTTTTGCTCCCAAGTCTCCAAGCAAGATCTTCCAGATACACAGCATAACCCAAACGTGCAAATTTAATTGTGGCTGTGTCCTACAGTCTGCCCCAGGATAAGCTCCAACTCTTCTGAATCCACAGCTCCCAACAGCTAGGTCCCCCAGCCCAGCTCCTAACAGACCCCACTTCCAAGTGGTCCCCAAGAGCCTCTGACTACTCCAAACCCGAGAATCCCCAGCCATGACCTCCACTCTCTAGTGGACCCTGCTAGTCCCCACTTGTCCACCCAAACTTAAGGACCCTGCCCCTCATACCCCAAATCATTCCCTCCCCAATCCTGGGTCCCACTTGTCCCTCTTCTCTTCTGTCTACCTGTCATCCCAAACCCAAGTTCCTGTCTGACCACCAGACCTGTGAGTCCCCAGCCCCCTACCCTATACCACTGTTGTCTGATTCTGACACCCAGCATTCCTTCCTCCTTCAACTGTTACCCAAATCCTCAGACCCCATGAATCCCAGGTCCTGAAACCTACTCCACCCCATCTGACTCTCATATTCCAGTGACCCCAGCATAATATACAAAATCCTCTCCCACTCCCATCCCCAGTCCCTGGACCCTACTAACCCCACCTCCTCTGTTGCTATACAGGTTCCTGTCTGACTCCGGACTAAGTCCCCAGCCCCCAATACCAAACGCTTGACTTTCTGAATATCTTAAATGCCCCATCCTGTGCCCCCAATCTCGGAATCCCCCGTGACTGCATTACCTCACCTCTGATCCACCATAGCCTCAAAAGCCCAGGCCCTGACCTCCGACACCCCACATCCTCGGCCTCCCAGTCTCTGACACCGCTCACTCCCGACGAATGCATTACCCCACTCCTGACTCCCTCTTCATCCTACCCAAGGCCCTGACTTCCGACCCCCAACCCCATCCCCGACTCCCTACCCTTTTGGATCCGCAGCTGCGCCGCCGACGCCTTCTTGCTGCTGCCCTTGGTGCCGCCCGCCGACTCCTCCTCCTTCTTCTGCTGCTTCAGCGAGAACAGCTTGATCATCCTGCTGCCGCCGCCGCCGCCGCTGCGGGGCCCGGGACCCCGGCCACCCGGCCCCCCGCCGCCGCCCGCGCCGCCTCCGCCACTCGGACCGACCGACGCGGCCTCCTCCGCTGCTGCCGCGGCCCGTCCGGCCTGCCGCGCTGCTCCGCGCCCACCGCGCGGCCCGCGTCGGCTCCCGTAGTCCGGCTCCGGCCTGGCCCGGCGCCTCGGCCTCGCTCGGCGGTAGTCGGGCCGACTCGGCTGGTCTCGGCCCGCTCAGCCCCGCCCCCAGCCGGTCGCTCCCTCCGCCCACTCGTCCGCTCTGGTCTCTCAGGCCCAGCTGTGGCTGCGGACGCGGGCTCCCTGGGCCGCACCGCCTTCTCGCTCACTCGCTCCCTCCTCGAAGAGGATGCGGCTTGATGTGGGAGGAGACGGTGGCGGCCGCAGTGGCGGCGGCCGTGTACTGGAGGAGGCTGGGCTTCCGCGGTAGGAGCGGCTTCGGCGCGGAGGTCCGCAACGGCCTCGGGCGCCTCAGCACCTCGGATATTTCCGCCTCCAGTGCGCTTCGGCTCTTCCCGCTCGGTCTGCGCTGTGCGCCTGCGCCTGCGCAGCCCCTGCCGCCGTCGCCGTCCCCGCCCAGCGTTGCTCAGCTATGGGGCTTAGAGTTCGGGCTCCTTCGGCTGGGCTCGAGTATTTCCGCTCGTGCGGGTCGTTTTCGTCACTTCCTGGAACGCTCGCGGGTGCAGGCACAGGACGGTGTCGCCGCCATCTTTAAGTGGGGCAGATGCAGGCCGCTTCGCTCGCGGTCCAGCCATTCCTACGTGCCGATCGCGGCGGGGGTTGGTCAAATGAGGCCCTTAGCCCGGAGGTCACAGACAAGTATGGTGATTGCGGCGGGCTAGAGCCTGAGATGAAGCCGGGGGCGTTGTCCAGAGGGTGCCAGGTGTAGCACCCTCGTGTCCCATCGCAAGTCCCAACAACCCGCTGGCGGAGATTCTAGTTGAGGTAAAGTAACAAAACATGTATTGTACCAAAGCGTGGTTAGCACTATGGAGAATTATGCCGGGGGAACTTGGGGGGCGGGACCGCCCTGGGCGTGTTCGGTGTTCCAGGGGGTTGTGGGCGGGCATAGCCTCTTTTCCAATCACAGCTCGGCGTGTTCCGGAGGGCGGGAGGAAGAGGCGTTGGCGGTTCTGCGAGTTCGGGCTGTCACCGCGGAAACCGTTTGGCGGTGAGGAGCTAGGTCCGGCAGGCGGTGCCGGTGTGGTCGGCTGGGGCTCTGACGCTCGGACCTTCCGTGTCCCAGGGCGGCTCCCGCGGCACGTCCCCTTCGGCCGCGGAGGAGACGAGCCGTGACTTCTCGGAGTGCTGTGGACACGCAGTCCTGATTCCAGTTGGGGTTGGGTAGGCGTGCTCACGGCCTCTTCTTCGCCATCGACCCCGGCCCAGACTCGTGGTTCTCTCTTCGGCAGACTTGCCCTGACGCCTCCTCATCTCCAGCGCCTCCTTGGACCGGACCTGAGGTCCACTCCAGCCCCTTTCTCAATCCAGCGAGTGGCCTCCACCTCCTCGGATCCTGGTCTGGCGTCCTTCCTGACCCCAGCCTCTGCGGAGGCTCTGCCCCTTGGGTGCTGGGTACCTTTGACGTCCCTGGGCTCTGTGGACTAATCCTAGCTGTATATATATATTTTTTTTAATTTTCACCCGAGGACATTTTTCCATTTTTGTTTAGATAGAGTGGGAGGGAGACAGAGAAACATCCACGTGAAAGGGACACATCGTGTGGCTGCCTCCGCAGGACCCCAACCAGGGCCGGGGATGAATAGTAACGGAGGTATATGCCCTTGACGGGAATGGAATCCGCGGGACCCACGCTCTAACTGCTGAGCCAAAAAAGGCCAGGGCCCAGCTGTATTTCTTTTTTTAATTTTTATTTGACGTGTGCCCCTAGCAGGAACTGAACCCGGGACTCTGGTCTGCAGGCTGATGCTCCAACTGCTGAGCCAAACCGGCCAGGGCCTCTTTTTTGTTCCCTTTAAAAAATATTTTTATTTCTTATTCAAGTGTGTGTGTATATACATACATATATATGTGTGTGTGTATGTATATATATATTTCTATTTATTATCAGAGCAGGAGGAAGGGAGAGAAAGACAGAGAAACATGGATGTGATAGAACCACATCCACTAGTTGCCTCCCACACGACCCACCAGGGGTAGGACAAACCACAGCCAAGGCAACTAAGGTACAAGCCCTTGACCGGAATCGGACTTGCAAATCATTGGTTTGTGGGCAGATGATCCAACCATTGAGCCAAACCGGCCAGGGCCCAGCTGTATTTCTGTAACTGCTCCCTTCTGGCTTTTCCGTTCTCAGTGCCACCAACTTACATGCCCCCTTCTGCCCACTGGTTGTCCTAGCCTCACATTCCCAGCATCTTTTCTTGAGTCCAGTGAGAGCTGATTGCTGTAGATGTGCTGGGGTGACCATGGGGCTCAGACGCCTCAAAGCTTAGACTTGGGGCTGATGTACTTGCAAACCATGCCAGCGTTCTCAGGCTTCAAACATGACTGGTTCTGAAAATCGGGGGGGCCCCTCCAGACTCAGCTCTCTTTTTCTCTGACTGTTCTCTAACTCTGTTGTTGTCAGCCCCTCGGCTCTTGCTGGGTATTTTCATAAAACACATTTCCACATGAGGGTTAATGACCATCCTGATGTTTGTAGCCAAAGTCTCGGGGGGTTTTCTTTTGGCCAGCCTGGTCCATGTATCCATCCTCAGGCCAGTTGCTGAGGTCCATCAACTGAGCGCCCATCTGTGCATAGGGTATGGGTACTCTGGAGAGGTGATGCTGGACTAGCCAAAACGACTTGTGTGGTCTCTAACATTGTGGCTTAGATTCAGCTGTGCAAAAGATACTGGGAAAAGGAGGCTGTGGGGACTGAACCAGGGAGGGAGGGGACGGTGGAACTGAGGCAGGGGGTTGGATTGGAGTGGTGTCGCTATGTCTTTCTTGTCACCCTTAAGGCCACGGAAGTGGCAATGGGACACTTCTGGTTTATGTGTCAGGGGTGCCTGTAGCCCCTGGGCCTGCAGCCTCTCAGGAGGCAGCACAGGTCTTGGCATGTGCAAAGGCCCTGAGAGGAGTCGGGGTCAGAGCCTTGGAGGGACAGGGCAGAACACGATAGGTGAGGAGTGAGGGTGGTCATGCATTTGGGGATGTTAGCATAGCATAGCCCCTGGGAGCTGACACTGGGAAAATATTATCCATTTTGGAACGGTGGGGGCAGGAGTAGTCAGGGAAGGGAGGCTGAGTGCTGTGGACTTCCACACTGGATATGGGTGGCAGGGATCAGAGCAGTACTGGGAGTGAACTAGAGATTTGGGAGGCTGGAGTTAGAATAACTGAATGGATGTGGCATGGGGAGGCTGGGCTCAGGTACAGATGATCCACGGACAGGCTTGCTGGGCACAATTGTGGCTTCCACCAGTTGGTCAGTGCCTTGGGCTTTCTTCTGGATTCCTCCTTTGGTTCTGGCCATGTGGGGCCAAGTGGTCATTCTGTTCAAGGCCTGAGTCTTACTGATAGTATAGTAGCACTTGGGTTCTCACGACCAGCTTGTAAGGATAACCCCAGCCGTTTGCAGAAATAGCCTTTCATGGGTGGCTCTCACATTGCTCTTCATGTTTCTTCTCAGAAGGCTGGTTTTGCAGGTGCATTTGTGCACTTCTCAAGGCTTCAGATTTGAGGCCCTGGCTTTTCATGTTGCTATTCTGTGTGTAATTTCATTTCTTATGTAGCTGTATCTGTACAGGTTTTTTCACAACACTAAGATGATCAAAACATGAGAGTTTTCTTGTTTTCTGTTTCTGTTTCTAAAAGCCATACAGACTTATAAAATTCATGTTATAGGATTTTTGTTTGTTCATTTATTTATTTTGCATTTATCCTCAGATAGAGCGGGAGGGAGAGAGCGAGGAAGAGACACACAGAGAGAGAAACATCAATGCGAGAGACACATCGAGTTGCCACCCACATGACCTCAACCGGGGTTGGGGACAAGCTGCAGGTATGTGCCCTTAGCGGGAACCAAACCCAGGACTCTGTTCCATGGGCCGACACTCTAACCGCTGAGTCAAACTGGCCAGGGCTTGTTACAGGATTTATAAAGTTCTGGCAATGTTTAGTTAGTCAATCTGAGAGCACTGGCCACCTCCGTTCCAGTACCATCCCTAACTTGACTCTCCCAGCTTCTGCCTAAGGGCCCACAGACCACCTTCTCTTGTAATTCTGCAGGTCCCCTTTGTGGTCAGAGAGGAGAGTGAGTTTTGTTACAGGGCCCAGGGGACACTCCCCTCCCGGACTGTGCCACTCAGGAGTGCCCTTGCCTGGGGACCTGCTGATTTTGCCAGATGTAGAGGATGCCAGAGTGCCCCTTGTCCTGGCTGGGGAGAGGGGAGGAGTGATGGAGGGGAGAGAGAGGGTGGGATCAAGAAGCATGACTTTTTGTTTTTCCCTTTTAAATAAGACTTTGTAGCGTCAGAAAGGGAGCCTGCTTTTTGTAGCAGGGTAGTCAGAAGCCTCTGGCCCAGGCTGGCTTGTCGTCTTTCCCTGATGCCAGGGCCCCAATTTTAGGGGCCAGGATAACTCAAAGCAGTAGGGAAAAGCCCAGCTGCGCCTCTGGAAGAAGTTTTGACACCTAGGCCTTAAGAGGCTGTTCCTGGAACCACCGTGCCAAAGGCAGCCTGCTGATATGGGCCCAGAATGGGGTTAGGTTCCAGTTCAGAGGCCCTGTTGGGATGAAGATCCCTTCTTTGGCACTGCTGTTCACCCTGTGTTTCTGGCACCTAGAACACCTCCTTATGTGGTTGGGGGCTATGTCAAGGGCCTGGCCAATGAGATGGAAGGAAAAGGGCAAAAGAGGCAATGCCGTGGGTAAAAGGCCAGCTGTCAAGGCTGCAGGATGCTGAACCCACACCGGCAGGATGTTTCCTGTGGCTTGCCCTCCTGATGGAGACTTCCCAGCGGCGGGGGGGGCTTGGGGAATATGCATGGGTCCAAGGTGGGAAGAGAATGCAGCCTAGGGGATAGGAATAATCTCTAAAAGGTTGGGGAACTGGCCCCAGGCCTGTCACTGACCTATTCCCAGACTGGCTGGAGTCCTATCAGGAGGGGCCCCACCATCAGCATCTGCTGAAGGTAAACCCGCAAGAATAGGGGGAAGTTTTGAAAAAATGTGTATTTCCAGATAAAACCTTCCAGATTTTACAGCTAAGGAACATGTTCCCAGGTTTAAAGTTTTACAAACACATCCAAGGCCGTATCTGGCATTTGCGTACCAGTTTGTTGCTTTTATTACTCCCACTGATCTTTGCTGGCCATGGAGAAGTAGGCAGGCTTGGCCCTCGGGTGTGTTCGTGGAAGACATCTTGGGTAAACTATAGGAGGCATAAGAGGGGGCACGCGACAGACCGTGTGCAGGTGCTGCTAGGAGCCACCTCTTCAGGAGATCATGGCTCTCAGGAACCACAAGGTTACAGTGGAAATGTGAGTGTGTGGGGTTGTTAGAGAGGGACCCCAGCAGGTGGTATGGCACTGCATGTGTTGAGACCCAGACCCAGGTTGCTTCTACTGTTTATTGAGCACCTACTGGAGGGTGGGTGTCAGGCCCTGGGCCTGCCTACTTGTACCTATGCGATGGCAGGCCTCACAACAACCCTGTGAGGTAGGTAATATGTCCCCCTCTTTCCCAGGCACAGAAGATCGAGGTGGACATGGTGGTGGTGGTGGTCAGTGAGCACTGGCTACTCTACACTGTGGATGCGCTGATGCTGAATGAGCTTGGTGCTCTGGTGGAAGCATCGGCCACAGTCTTGGCAAGCGAAGGGCTTTTCGCGCCGGTGGGTACGCAGGTGCTGAGTGAGTGTGGGCCGCTGGCGGAAGGCCTTGCCACACTCAGGGCAGGCGTAGGGCCGCTCGCCTGTGTGGATGCGCTGGTGCTGTGTGAGGTTGGCGTGCTGCCGGAAACTCTGGCCACATTCGGGGCAGGCAAAGGGCCGCTCGCCAGTGTGGATGCGCTGGTGCTCCGTAAGCCGCGACACCTGCGTGAAGCCCAGGCCGCACTCTTCGCAGTGGTAGGGCTTCTCGCCTGTGTGCGTCCGCTGGTGGCGCGTGAGCTTGAGACGTTGGCTGAAGCGTTGGCCGCACTCAGGGCAGGCAAAGGGCTTCTCACCCGTGTGTACACGCAGGTGCTGCGTGAGCGTGGGTCGCTGGCGGAAGGCCTTGCCGCACTCGGTGCACGCAAAGGGACGCTCGCCAGTGTGGATGCGCCGGTGCTGCGTGAGGTTGGAGCGCTGCCGGAAACTCTGGCCACACTCCACGCAGGCAAAGGGCCGCTCCCCGCTGTGCACTCGCCGGTGCTGCAGCAACACCGAGTGGCGGCCAAAGCGCTCGCCGCATTCCACACAGCTGAAGGATTTGTCGCCCGTGTGCACAATCTGGTGCTCCAGCAGCACGGAGCGCCGCGCGAAGCTCTCACAGCACTCACTGCACGGGAAGGGGCCTGGCGGCTCCGGCGCATTGGGAGGTGTGGGGGGTCCAGAGCCCGGACCCAGAGGGTCGCCGTGAACGCGCCGGTGCTGCAGCAGGTTGGAGCGTTGCCGGAAGCTCTGACCGCAGTCGTCGCAGTGGAAGGGCTGTTCACCCGTGTGCACACGCCTGTGTTCCTCCAAGCGTGCACTACGCACGAAGCCCTGGCCACAGTCGCCGCAGACAAATGGCCGCTCCTCCGTGTGCGTGAGCTGGTGGCGCAGAAGGTGCGAGCTGCGGCTGAAGCTGCGACCGCACTCGCCACACACAAATGGCCGCTCCCCTGTGTGTATCTTCTGGTGCCGCAGCAGGTTGCTGCGCTGGCTGAACACTTTTCCACACACGTCACAATGGCCACCTCGCACTGCCCCGGCACCTGTGCTGGAACGGCCTCGGCCCCGGCTCTGACCCCGGGGGGCTGGCCAGTGGGAAGTGTCCATTATGTGGCCTGTGCCCTGGCAGGGATCCTCCTCTGTGCGGTCCTGCTCACCTCCCGGGTCGCTAGGTAGCACTAGCGTATGTGAGAAGCCACCTTCTCGAGAGGGTGACTGGAGTTGGCCCGCGAGGCCAGCTACACCGAGGTCCCAGGGGATGTGGAAGTGGGGGCTCACAGTGCCCGGGCCCATAGAGACGCTGTCCATCTGGGGCACAAAACCTGCATTGCACAAGGGGATCCACTCCTTTGTGACAGAAACCGTTGTGTGCCCAACACATTCCAGCCCTGGGTAAACAATGTGAACTGGAGGCTCCTGACAGTGACCAAGGAGGCAAACAGAGGGGCAGGGGAAGGGACAGGGACTCTTATCTGTACAGGCTTCCCCAGGAGGTGACAAACAGGACAGACTCTTGCATGAGGAGGAAGACTAAGAAGCTTGGGACAAGCTTTCCGGGTCCTATTTGAGTTTGCAGAAAAAAAATCACCTATCTAGAAGGACTGTAGTACAAGGTGGCCCTTGCACTGTCTGGGTCTGATGTGCCTTGCTCAGTGCCCATGGGCATCCAAGGGACAGTGTGCACATGCAGGCTGTGGGGTGCGGGAGTCAGGGGCCCAGTCTTCAGGGAAACATGAATGTGGGTGCTGTGACATATGCACAGCATATGGAGCCCTGGACCTGCATGAGAGGAAACAGGATGGGGTTGCCAGGTGTCTGTGGAGAAAGGAGCAGCCCCCAGCCACACTGAGCTCCAAAGCAGTAGATGCTGATTGACAGCTGGTACAAGCAAAGGCCACTGAGGAGCAGGGGTGGAGAACAGGAAGCCAAATGAAGGAGACAAAGTAGCAATGGCTTCAATGGGTGACAGAAAAATCCCTAAGTTATCCAAAGGTAGATGAATTATATCAAAGGAAATAACTTATGCACAGAAAAGCAACTTTAATCCAAAAAACAAATGAGAAACTCTCCAGAGGCAAAGGTGTAATTAATCTAAGAATTCCAACAAAACAACAAGAAAGACCAACAACCTGATCAACGTGGGCAAAGGATGTGAACAGAAAAGGAAATTTCACTACACTAAAATCCCATTGAATGTGCTTACTCCCTTCCCAACATGAACACTATACATAAGGGCTGCACTCAACTACGATTTCCACACCCTTGCTGCAGAGACCCAGGCATTTGTGTGTGTTGCTGGTGAACATAAATGGGAAGCCAATATTGCAAGATATATAAAAATGGCAAATTTCCCATACTTTGATCCAGCAATTGGACTTTTAGGTATGTGTCCAACAATTGTGGTCTCCCTGTGTGAAGTGACCTCCATATGAGGTTTTTCAGTTCACCACTGAAAAGCAACCCAAAGAAATGTCAGCAGGAGCCTGGGTGGACAGACAACAGCATGTATACAGTGGGGCTATGCAGTTGTCCAAAGGCAAGGCACTTGCTACACAGAGAATATCAGGTGTGAAACAGGGTGCTGTAAAGAAGGGATATGAATATGCATTTGCTTGTGTCTGCTCTTGTATACACAGCTTCTTTCTGGAAGAACACAGAAACTGGTAATGCTGGCTGTGGGGGAGCAGGACTGTGAGACAGACAGAGAGAGGCATTCACTGTGTACTCCCTCTGCCTTTTGAATTCTCTAACATGTGGGTACATTGGTTATTCAGAATATTCTAATGAAAATGCTGGCTACACAGAAAATGTTAGTTGAGATGCAAGGGGAGCAGCCAGGAGACCTGATGGGGAGACCAAGGTCACTGAGGGACCAGTATTTGAAGATGGGAGCTGTGGTTTTCTATGGGGAGTGTAGCCTGAGGAGAGAATGGAGCAGCAAAGAAAGAACCCATGAGGGAACCTGAGATGGTGCTGCCAGATGAAGAAAGAGTGGGGTTGTGAACTGAGAGAAGCAGGCCCCAGTTGGAGGGAGTAGTCAGCCACAGGGCACAGGTTGGGCCTGGCCAGCAGCTGAAAACAGTGGAAGGGGTATGTCCTGCTCTCAGCTCCAACACATAGAACATAACTTAAAATTGGGCAAAGTAAGAAAGGCCAGCTGGTGAGGTTCAGGGATCCACAGCCTGGTAGAATGAGCTCTAAAGCACAAGAACTGAATGAAGCTAGAGGCTGAGTTAGCCTGGATAAGGGCTAGGTTAGCCGAGTCCACCCACAGACCTGGACAGGAATGACCTGCTTGCTTTTGGCTGGGGCTGTAGAGGTATCTCCCTTTACTGGCCTGGGGCCCAGATGAACCTTCACTTCAGGGTTTTGATGGACCCTGTGGCAGTCTGAATAACCACAGGGTCCATCATCCAGGTTCATGCTTAGCCCAGACGGGCAAGCAATCAACAGTGCAACCAGTGGGAGAACTCAGCTGAGAAAACCGAGCTAACTAGTCAGTCTTGGAAGGAAATGGAATTATTTCTAAATTCTCAAAGGAGGGATTGGCATCCGTGAAACAAAGACATTGTGAAAAAATAATGAGTTAGTATCCTTATTGATAACAGCAAACAGGGACTTCTTGGAATCAATGGCATCTGTTTATACAACAGTAAGATGATAACAATGTTCTCTTTTTTTTGGTTAATCCTCATCTAAGGCTATTTTTTTCATTCACTTTCTAGAGCGAGTAGGAGGGAGGGAGGGGGAGAGAAAGAAAGATCGATATGAGAGAGACACATGGATTGATTGCCTCCTGCATGTGTCATGACTAGGGCTGGAGATTGAACCTGCAACCCAGGTATGTGCCCTTGACTGAGACTTGAACCTGAGACTTGAACCCACGACCCTTAGGTCCATGGGATGACACTCAAACCACGGAACCACCAGCCATGGCTAAGGTTATTTTTTTAAGGCCAAAAATTCCCAAAGATGAAAAGGAAACAAACAGACCCCTGACATTTTCTGCTCTGAAAAGCAGATAGGCAGGTGACTGTGTAGCAGACTGGAGAAGGTGAATACTAAGAAGTGGGGAAACAAACAAACAAAAAAAGAAAAGTGTGTTCTACCCCAAAGAGGACTCAAAAAGCTAAGGAGTCAGAGATTCCAGGTACTTCTGGTTGTGCAGGGGTAGGGGCAACACACAGGTGGGAGAGGCTGTTTTAGAAGCAGAAGCAGGGCAGGATGACTGCATGGACCAGCCCTGGGCTGTCTGCACTGAATGCTGAGCAAACGGTGGGTACTGCTGTCGCTTGGATTCTGGGTGTCTCCTCTCATCTTGGCAAAAGGCTGGGTTGAGGTGGAAGGCCATACAGAGGAAGTTGAGGGAATAAGTAAAGTCACATTGTGTGCTGAAACAGCAGCCTCTACCCCAGGATACTGTCAAGAGGCTGGAAGAGCCTTCTCGGAGGACTTGGGAAAGACCTATTAGGGGTGCCCCAAATGGCCCAGCCAGAGAGCCCTACAGATCCTTCACTGGCACTGGCACCCTCCCACCTGCTCACATCAATGGTGGGTCTCCTTGGGGGAGTGAGCCCTATGTCCTTTCCAGTCCCTCATCTATCTGCCCATAGCTGCCAGATTGGTCGTCCCCCGACAACTTGGAGGGAATGGAGACCATACTGGGAGAAGTTAAAAATTGCCCTGGCTGGTTTGGTTAGAGGGTTGACCCGTGGACCAGAGAGGCCTGGGTTCGGTTCCTGCTAAGGGCGTGTATCTTGGTTGCAGTTTTTCCCCCCAGCCCCGGTTGGGGTCCTGTGGGTGGCAGCTAGTCGATGTGTGTCTCTCGCATCGATGTTTCTCTCTCTGTCTCTCTTCCCTCTCTCCCTCCTTCTGTATCTGAAGGAAAAAAAAAACCTTAAAAATCAAATTATTGTGCCCTGGCCGGTTTGGCTCAGCGGTTAGAGCGTCCACCTGCGGTCCGGAGAGATCCGGGTTCGGTTCCCGCTAAGGGCATGTACCTCGGTTGCAGTTTGTCCCCGGCCCTGGTTGGTCGTGCGGGTGGCAGCCACTCGATGTGTCCCTTTCACATCGATGTTTCCCTCTCTCTCTCTCTTCCTCTCTCTCCCTCCCACTCTATCTGTACAAAAAATGGAAAAATGTCCTCAGGTGAGGATTAAAAAAAAAAAAAAAATCAAATTATTGTTATTCTCAGAGAAATAAGGAAAGATATTATAACTGTAAGAACAAGAGGAAGTGGCTATAAAAGGGAATAAAACACTCCTGGAAATTAAAACCATGCTAGCAGAAACGAACATCTCAACATGTCTGAAAGATATGATGGAAGAGTGTTTCTGGACAACAGAACATTAAAAAAGGTATGGAAGATCAGAGTGAAAAAATAAAAACTGTTAGAGGACCTGTCTCAGTGTTGTGCCAACAGCCTAGGAACAGGCATTCCAGAAACCAGAACAAAACAATGGAGAAGGAAAGAAAAGAAACCGTTCCAGCCAGTTTCCCACGGCTCAATGTGCTTTTCAAATGGAAAAGGCTCACCAACAATGTGATAAAAAAAATGTTTGTGACTGCGTTAATAAAAAGATCTTTATCCAGCCAAACTTCAATGTGATGTGGAGTATTAGACGAATGTGTCTCAGAAATGTAACATCTCAGAACTTTAAGGCCCACACCAGAGTTCAGAGGAAGGGCCACCAGAACAAGGGAATAAACCAACACAGAGGGGTGCAGGGAACAGGGAGTGGCCCAGATGGACACTTGGATGATTGGTCAGAATCCCACTGTCCTGCCTGATCCCACTGTCAAGGCCCCTTCTGCCCACCCACCCTGTCTACTAACCTGCTCTCCTTGCCATTCCTGACCCTCCCCATGTTGACACCCAGAGTGTAGGGCCCACCAGGATGCCAGGGCTGGGAGGTGTGGGTTTGGTGAACACAGGCTCCAGTCTCAGGAGGTGTCACTGGTGGGGAGTAGCAGCTGGAGGGGTATGAGGTCAATGGAGAGCTTGGCTTTGGAGGCCAGGAGATGCTGAAGGTTGATGCTGCAAGGGATGTTCCAGGGAATGGGGGAGCGGGGCTAAGAATGGGACAGGCAGGTATGTTACTGTCCATGTAGAGGGCCCAGCCCCACCACGCCTCGTCTTACTCACCTGGGGAGAAGATGTCCCCACCTTCCTCTTGCCACAGGGCCCCAGGGTGTTCCCTCCAAGAGGGCCCCTCAGGCCCGGTCTTGCTGTGGGGAGAGGCCTGGTCCAGCAACACCCTACAGCCCTGAAACCACAGTAGTCACTGCTCATCTGTGCCCTGCTAGGCCCAGGGAGGGACCTACCTGATCTCCACCCATGGAGACTCCTGGCCTGTGTGGAGCTCACCTGGGCCTCCTCAGGCAGGAGAGTAGAAGTGGTCTCCTGGGGGCTGACTAGAGGTCCAGAATCCAGAAAGTCTGGAAAGGAAGGATGGAATCAGGCGGCCCAATGTTGTCCCCACCCCAATGCCCTCCTCAGTGGTCCACCAAGTGCTGGGATTCAGGTGGGGTGCAGGCTTGGGCTGGACATGGCAGGGTAGCTCCAAGGGCCCAGCTTGGGGGTGGAGCACAGCATGGCTCCTAGAAGGCCAAGGAAGAGCTGTGGCAGGAGTAGGTGGCTCGGGTCTGTGCCCTGCATACCTGCATGAGACCTGGGCAGGCGAATAGTGAGAGTGGGAGAGGGGCATTGGCCAGGGACCACATGGGAGTGGTGGAGTGGGTGGTCAGCTGTGGCACCTGCCTGGGAGGCATATGAGAGGGGCAGGAGCACTTTGGGGTCCTACCTTATCTGTACCCATCCATACCCCAGCCTGGTGTCTACTTTCCAATAACCATCTGATGAACCCCAATGGATCTCCTTGGGGAGTGAACCCCACATGTCTCCCATACATGGAAACCCCAACAACTCATCTCATGACAGCTGCTGGCTGGGTGGGATGCTTGGGAATGACTCCATCCATTAGGTGACTGGCCTAGTAAGCATCAGGCTGCTCCACTTGGGCCCTGCCTACCTTGCCTGTCCTCACCTGGGTCCTCTGAAACTGCAGGCTCCTCTTTCACCTGAAGGCTCAGTGCTGACCTCTGCGTGGCCCCAGAGGTTGTCTCAGGCTCAGGTTCTGTAGTCCAACACTTGGTTTGAAGGAGGGGCTGGAAGTCAGAGGGCTCTATCTTCTCTGATAGCACCTCCTGGCCCTGCACCTGGACTGTGACCTGGAGAGGTGCCCCCTCTCCATCAGGGGCCCAGGAAGGGAGTTGGGGTGGACCCCACTGCAAGACTCTATGGGTCCTGAATAACTGGATACTCCAGGGACCTCAACCCCCAGGAAATGAGCAGGGGGTGAAGGAAACACTTGCATTTGCTATCCTGTGTTGACACCCACCCTGCATCCCTCCCTGTGTCCATGACCCTTCCATAGAGTTCGCTGCAGGTGACCACTGCCAAACCACAAGAGCAAGTGTCTAGCTGAGCATGGCATCACCCCAGATTAACCCTGATCTCTTCTCAGGGCAACTGACTCACCCATCTCCGGGGTTCTCCTGGGTCCTGAAGCAGCCCCTCAACCAGGGCCACAGCCTCTTCAGGGCTGCCTGGCCGCTGCCTCCGCACTGGAGCCTGGATCTCAGGGGGCAGCGCACCCAGGAACTGCTCTAGCACCAGTAGCTCCAGCATCTGCTCCTTGGAGTGCACCTCGGGCTGCAGCCACTGGTAGCACAGCTTCCGGAGCAGGGTCAGAGCCTCTCGGGCCCCCGCTGCCTCCTCATAGCAGAAGTGCCGGAAACACCGGCATGCAGCCTCTGGGCCGGGATCCCATGGGGTGGCCTCCTCTACCTCTTCAGAGTCTTCCAGCTTCACCATGACTGGTCTCTTGCCTTCTGTGTGCTTTGGGGAACCCAGTGCTGCAGGCCTCATTGGAAGGATGGCTTGGGCTCTGAGGCTAGTGCCTGACCCTGGGGAAGAATGGGATGAAATTGTTGCAGTGACATTTGAGTGAATGCTTTTTGAGTGCCTACTGTATGCTGTGCTGTCCCATCCTCAGGTATGCCTGGGTGGAAGGCTGATGAGGTCACTGAAACACAGAGAGGTGATCACATGCCAGGGCCCTGTGGGTCTGGTAGGCTCCGGGTGATCCACCTGTCCCTGGTCTCTTCAGCTGGGCCTGCAGAGTCTCTGGTAGGCCCCAGCTCCAAGGAATTCTTAGGCTCAGAAGTCACCTCCTGTCTCCCCTAAGTCCTGCTCTTTTTCTATGGACACCACCTCACCCCTGCCCTGCAGCTCTCTCCCTTACAGGTGACTGACTCCTAGAGCACCACTACCACCCCTGCATGCCAGCCCATCACTGCATCATCCACTCCTCTACTCATTCTCAGACCATTCTTCTGCCATCTTGGTTCCACAGGGCATTCTCCCACCACTTTTCACCCCCCCTCCCCCGCACACCTGTGGCTCAGCCCCGAGGTGGCATCCTCCCCCAATTCAGCCTGATCCTCTGAGCCCTGCTTATCATACCATGCAAATCAGCGTCTCCTGGTTCCTGACCTAGGTGGACATAGGAGGTGATGGGGAAGCTTCCAGGGTCCCACAAAGGCCCTGCGACCACTGGACTGGCAGACTGGTCTCACTTTTTTGCCACATAACCATGGCAGGTCGTAGTGTCTTTGTTTCCTCATCTGAAAATGAGGACCACTACCCCTTCTCCCCACTCCGCTGCTATAAAACTTAGACTTTGTGAAGGAATGTTTATTACGGGTGGTGGATTCGATTTCGAAAGCCGCCTAATTCCGTGAGCCAATCCTACGCTCCTCAAGGTACCAGGCCAACCGGAAACCTTGGGAGAAAGCTGGGCCATCGTTAAGCCAGCCGGGCCCTGCGGAGGTTCCTGAACTATATTTACCAGAAATTTTGGCGGGCAACTTCCGCTTTAGGGAGCGCCGCAGGTCCCAGTGCCGCCATGGCAACCGGCGGCGGGTTTCCCAGAGCCTGTCGCCGTGGTAATGGTCAGTGACTGCCGGGCCGCCTGCAGGGGTGTCCAGGCTCCTGCCGTGCACTCCCGGTCCCACAGGGCATCCAGAATCCAGGAGTCCGCAGTGGCCACCCCTGTCCCCGCCCAAGCCTTCCCCGTTGAGGCTACCACCCTCACCTGGGCGCTCAGCAGGCCGCTCCCGCTTCCCTGAGCATGCGCACTCGCTGCCTGCCCTCCCCGGCCGGACTGTGCCGGAATGCGGTGCGCAGCAGTCCCAGAGCCTCCTAGCTTTTCCCCAACCCTCGCCTATGTTTCCACCCTGTTCCCCGGGGTAGCGTTGTTCCCAGTGACCGGATCACACTTCCAACTGCCTCTTTCCGCGCTCCCCGTCTCTGATCCAGGCACCGGAGACCCCGTCGACGTGCGCAAGCTTCCCAGGTGGCAACGGACAGCAGTGCTGCCTGCCCGACCGCGCATGCCTCCCACCACCTCTCTCAATTCTCTACGGGCCTTTCAGAGGATTAGCAGAGTTCTCCACCAATCGCGGCCCTCGCTAGGACGCCGTCAGACCAGGTCTCCATGGCAAACCCCCGCCGAGTTTGGGGGGGGGGAAGGTGCATCTCCACGCCCCCAGGACCGCAAAAGTGGGAGGGTCCGCCTGGGGCTTTCTGGGAGGTGTAGTTGGCCGGGCGCTTCCTGCTCGTCTGCACATCACGACGACGTTTGGTGCTGGCCGACCATAGCTGGGAGCGGGGTGGGGTGGGGCTGACTCTGGTCTCCATCGCACTCTGAGTTCCCTACCTGCATTTTATTTTATTAAAAATATTTTTGTTTAATTTAGAGAGAGAGGAAGGGAGAGGAAAAGAGAAACATGGATGAGAACATTGATTGGCCGCCCCCTGCACGCCCCCACTATGGATTGGGCCCACAGCCGCCGCAACTCTTGGTGCATGGGTCTCACTAAACCACTGAGCCACACCCACTGGGCTGTGTTCTGTCTGAGTTTTGTTTGTTTTTTTATCCTCACCCAGGACACTTTTCCCTTTTATCTTCAGATAGAGCGGGAGGGAGAGAGGGGGGAAGAGAGAGAGAGGAAAACATTGACGTGAGAAAGACACACGTCACGACCCCAGCCCTGCAACCGAGTCACGTGCCTTAGACTGGAACCGAACCCTGGACTCTCTAGTCTGTGGGCGGAGGCTCCAACCGCTGTGCCAAACTGGCCAGGGATGTGTTCTGTAACCCTCTCTTGTTCCTTCTCTCTCATCTTCCTGGAACCACCTCTGTCATCCACCTCGTCCCCTCTATGAAGCAAATCAATCTGTGATCCTGCTCAATGAGTTTGTTTTTACCTTTAAAAAAACATTATAAGGTAGTTTCTTTAGAAAGTTACAGAGGTTGTAGAAGTGACCCAGCTGGGCTGCTTAGGCTCAGGAAACAAGTTATAGAAGCAAAAGAAGGTCCCTTGGAGCACAAACGAGAGAAAGGAAAAGGTAACCTGCCTAGGGGGAAGAACAGGAAGGAAAAGGTTGCCCGTTTTAACTTTTTTTGAAAATTATATATTGACATTCTAAAAGGAACCAGTTCTCTGGGATGAGGAACAGACAGGGAGAAAGAGAAAACAGTATGACAGAGCCAGGAGGGGAAAACGGTAGGTAGGATGATGGAAACACTGACAGAAAGTAGACTGCGGGAAACATGCGAACCAGAAATTAGGCGGCGAGAAAGCCAGCCCCCGGCAGCAACAGCCTGAACTCCGCGCATAGCGGCCTCACCGCCAAACTACATTTCCCAGCAGCCCAAGCGCCCAGAGCGACGTCGGAGGCGCGGCGCACGCAGCCTCCTTCAACGTTGCGCACGTCGGGCAACAAGATGGAGGCTAAGCTCAGTCGCCTTCGGGGAGTGGTGCCCTGAAGCCGGACATGGGGGAGGGTCCCAGGCACGCCGGATCGCGGCTCTGTCTGGAGGTAAGGACGATCCGCCCCACGCAGGCCGGGTGTTTCGCGGGTGGCGGCAGCAGCCTTTCTCATGGCTCTGTTCCAGGGGATGGGAGGGAGAGAGGACACTGCCCGCGTAGCGGAGGAGTCACGCTAATGGGAGCGTTTGGCGACTCCGTGGCCTTCTGGGAAATGTAGTCTCCAGAGTATGGCGGGGAGCCTTCCCCAGGGGCCACCTGGGAACTTGCTCTGGAGAGTGGGAGTTGTGGCGCCAGTCAAAGAAAGACCACCAGAGAATTTAAGTCCAAATAAGAGCCGTTTATTAGCCGGCCGGACTCTGATTCCGAACACCCCTGTGACAGTCTTAGGAGATTAGCCCAATATACTTTATTACATGTTTTTATACCTTACAGCAAAAGTTTAATGATATAAGAAAATAGGATCTTGATACAATGCCCAAGGCTACAACAATGCTGTATAGAATTAGTTTGCCTTGAGGATAATAGGAACACCCAGGCACACCCAGTCTGTTATCTCAGGTATTTCAAGGTGTACTTTAGGTCACACTTAGCCCTGAGCTGCACAAACACAATGCAAGCCTGATTCCTTGAGATAGTGGGGGAGATCGAGTCTCTGACTCAAGACCTCCAGGCTCTGTGGACTCTGTCAGACACACAGCCGGCTCCCAACTATTTCTTGGGTCAGGGAGTATTCCAATTTACTGAGGTTATTTTGATCTCTATCCTGTTGATTAAATTCTGTACAAAACAGGTTGAGCTAGAGAGCACACAGTGATTTTCCCAATCATCAATTATGGGTTTATAAACATGTCAGCACAGGAGCAAGGGAATAAAAGGATGAATGGGCGAATTAAATTAAAATTGTAATCGAGCAGGCGAAGGCATGGTTGTCGGATAGGGAAGGATGGGCCTGAGAGGTCCTTCCAGGCAGGAGCTTTCCATGTCCCCACATTTCCTTCCCTCCCTGGCTCAAGGGCCCCGTGGGCTGTGCCACCTTGTTTTAAACCAGGTGGAGCCCACAGGTCCCTGAATGTACTCTTTCTAGGTACTATAGCAACTCCAAAAACACAGACCCATCAGGCATTTGTCCCTGATTTTCACATGGCACTCCTTCAAAAACAATTTTACTGTTTTGATCAGGTCCTACTTTCACAGGGTTCAAAATGCAAAAGGGACCAGGTGAGAAGTCTGTCCCAGCACTCTACCTAATTTAGTAATTTACTCAGCAAGCAACTACTGGTTGCCTGCAAAGTGCCAGGCACTATTCCGGGTCCTGGGGACACAGAGAGCTCAGCAGACATGGCTCCTGACCTTAGGCAGTGTATGACTGATACACAATGACACAGGCACAGAGGTTACATTTAAGCAGAAATCTGCAGAAGGAGAGGGAGCGAGCTATACAGATAAGAGGGAAGAGCCCCAGCTCTGGGCCAAAGGAACCATAGGACCAAAGGCCTGAGTCAGGAATTAGCGAAGGAGAGGAGGTGGCTTTGATGCCCTCAAGGAAGCTGTCTTTTCTTCAGGGAGAGGTGGGAGGCAGGAAGGGCTCTGAGCAAAGGGTGATTGGATCTGATTCAGTGCTTTCTGACTTATTCTGGCTGCTATATAGAGAATCACCTTCCTCCTCTATCCCCAGGTACTGGCACGAATAAGGAAGCTTCCCTTCTGTGTGAGTTTCCAATGACAGCTGTTGCATATCATCACAAGCTTAGTGCTAAATTTATCATCTTAGAGTCTGGGAGGTCAGAAATCTGAAGTGGCTTTCACTGGGCTTAAATCAAGATATTGGCAGGGCTGGTTCCTTCTGGAGGCTCTAGGCTTCAGTGCTCACCCTGCCTTCTGAGTGAAATCTTCTGCCTCCTTTTATAATGATTAAACGATTACATTTAGAACCAATTCGGATAATCTGCCCACCCAGGATCAATTTAATCACCCCCGAAATGTCTCTTTTGCTACGTAAGGTAATGCATTCATTGTTTCCTGGGATTACAATGTGGCTGTCTTTGGGAGATGTCTGTGTTTGGCCTCCCAAACTGAGAACTAGTATTTCTAAGTGAGAAGCATGGGGCTCATCTGCTTATGAATTTCTGGGAGGTGGGTCATGGCTTCTAGATGCTCTTGGCTTCCCCTTGTGTTTTTAGGAGGTTTGGATAGGGGGAAGAGAGTGAAGTCACATCTGTGTTTTGATCTCATGAGCTAAAACTAAGTGACACACTCTTCTAGATGCAAATAACGCTTGGAAGAAAGTGTGCAGTGCTTTTTGTAGTAGGGAGGGAGGGGCTGGGCATGCCTCTGAGCAGGGCTCTGTGCTGTGGCAGAGCATGGGAAGGTTGGGCAGTGACTGGGACTCCCATGTGCTCACATGTTAATGCTTACACGTCCCCCTCTTACAGAGAGGCCAAGAGGCTGCCATCATGGGCAATGTGGTAGCTACTACGGATGGGCAAGGAAGGAGTGGAATGAAGATGACCCCCCACCTTCAGGTGTCGGGGAAAGCACCCCTTGGTGGGATTGGCCTCCGCCACAGTGCCAGGTGGGACTGGAAGTCCATCACCCTGCACATGAAGTTGGAGGTGCTTCAGAGGTTTGAAGAGGGTGAGAAGCTGACGCAGATGGCCTGGGCTCTGGGGCTGGCCACCTCTATGGTAGCCTCGATCTGTGTCAACAAGGACAAGATTCGGGCACATTCTCAGGCATCTATGTCCATCAGTGCCAAGCAGCTGACCCGCTGTTGGGGGTGTGGTTATGGGCCATATGGAATGCCTGCTGAGCCTGTGGATTGAGGAGCAGAAACGGCGGAACCTACCTGTCAGCACACTGCTCATCCAGGACCAGGTGCAGAGGCTCTTTGCACAGCTGCAGCATGAGCAGGGTGATGGTGCCTAGGCTGGGACCTTTGGTGCCAGCAATGGCCGGTTTGCCCGCTTCAAGGCACGCCACAATGTGCTGTTGACGGATGAGCCGACTGTGGCCGATGCCCAAGCCACTGCCTGCTACCCCTCAGTGTTGCGCACCATTCTGGAGGAGGGCCGCTACTCACCAAGCCAAGTCTTCAACATGGACGAGATGAGCCTGTAAAGGACCACCTGACCTTGCTACTGGGCGGCAGTGCAGCTGGTGACTTTAAGCTAAAGCCCCTGCTGGTATACCCCTCAGAGAACCCACGTACCCTCAAGGGCTGCTCCAAGGCCAGCCTGCCTGTGGTGTTGCCCTCCAACCGTAACGACTGGCTGACACCCAGTCTCTTACAGGAGTGGTTTATTGGCTGCTTCTGCCCTGCTGTGGAGAGCTACTGTGCTAGCCACAGCCTCCTGCACCATGCCCTGCTGCTCCTGGATGGTGCACCCTGTCACCCTGCCCACCTAGGTAGTCTTTCAGCCCACGTGCGCATTGAGTTCTTGCCCAAGAACACATCGGCCCTGATCCAGCCCATGAACCAGGGCCTTGTTGCCGCCTTCAAGGCCCATTACCTGCGCCGCATGCTTAGCCAGCTGGTCCAGGAGATGGCTAGTAGAGACTGGCCCTCCATTCAGGAGTTCTGGCGCAGCTATACCATCACATCTGCAGTAGACAGCATCGCCCAGGCCTGGGCAGAGCTGCAGCCCGCCACCATGAACAGTGCCTGGAGGAAGCTCTGGCCCCAGTGTGTCCCTGCCAGCACTTTAGAGCCTGACACCGTGCCCCAGCTCCGCCGCCGTATTGTGGCACTAACCAGCGATGTGGGCCTTGGGGACGTGGCAGAAGCTGATTTTGCCCACCTGCTGCAGAGCCATGTGGAACCCCCACTCTGCAGAAAACCCCAGGATGCTGAAGATGGAGATGCCATTGGCTTTGGGCTGCCCTGGGAGGCAGGGAAAGTCCTGGCCTCCAAAAGACCAGACTCAGATCTTATGGAAGCTGTGGTGGGTACATGAACTGAGGAAGCTGATGTGATGCACTGAGCCCTGTGCATCTCAGGCCATGTCCCATTTCACTGCTGGCCTGCAGGTCCTCACAGAGAACGATCCTAACTGGGAGCGCAGTCTGAGGGTGTCCATTGTGCCCTTGCCCGCTTCTGGGCACTTCACTGGGAAAGGAGGCGACAGGCTCGGGCAACTGCACCCTCAGGAAGCCCTGTGGTGGTGGCCACGAGGGAGTTGGCTGGAAGCCTCTGCTTACCTCAGATGGAGCCTGCAGAGAGTGGGCTAGTGGCCAAAGTCACACACCCTGAAGGACAGACCTCTAAAGCTGGGCTGCATGATTTTGGGCTTGGGCCTGACCTTAGATGAGCCCTGTCTGATATTTTTTGTCTCTGGAAGACAGACACTATCATTTCTCCCTCACGGTTCTTATATCTCATGCTCTGTGGGTTCTCTTTTTTACAGTGACACAGCCCACCAGGCTTGGGAAAAAGGAGGGTGGTGGTCTCTGATGGAAAGAGGAGCTGCGGGGCCCAGGAATGCCCACCCATGACACACCCCGCAGCACCAAAGTGGCCCAGCACACCCACCAGAGTGGTCCTCCTTGTGGTGAGCAGCCAGGGCTGAGACCAGGCTCTCCCATTCGACAACCCTGATCTCTCACTCCCTGCACCATTCTACCCAACTTTATCATTTTATTTATTTTTTTAATCCTCACCTAAGGATATGTTTATTTATTTATTTTTAGAGTGAGAGGAAGGGAGAGAAACACTGAAGTGAGGGAGAAACATGGGTTGGCTGCTTCCCATATGTGTCCTGACCAGGAATTAAACCCGTAACATTTTGGTGTACAGAATAATGCTTCAGTATACTGAGCCACCCGGCTAGGGTGGCTTTTGATACCAGGGTCCACTTCCTTGATTTGGATTTGTTTTCTTCCCTGGGTTTCTGTGGCGTGGTTGTCTTGGCTTCTCTCCAGCTTCTGAGGCTGCGTGTTTTGTGATTGATGGTCTCGAGGTCTAGTTCTCTTTGGGAAGTCCAGTTCACTCTTTTAAGGGCTCAGTGGTGACCTCAGGATCAGCTCCAAGCATACTGGCTGCAGCCCAGCATCTCCCTGAGGTCAGACCCATAGTTCTTTTTTTTTTTTTATCCTCACCTGAGGACATTTTTCAATATTTTTGTTCAGGTAGAGTGGGAGGGAGAGAGAGAGAAAGAAACATCGATGTGAAAGGGACACATCGAGTGGTTGCCACCCACACGACCCAACCAGGGCCGGGAACAAACTGCAAACAAGGTACGTGCCCTTAGCGGGAACCGAACCCGGGTCTCTCTGGACTACAGGCTGACGCTCTAACTGCTGAGCCAAACCGGCCAGGGCCAGACCCATAGTTCTAATTGTGATGCAAGGATCCCCTGGATGTAGTCATTATCCCCCCCTCATTCTAGCTTGTTCTGTCCTCCACACTCTAGAAACACACTCTTGGGTGTTTATTTGACTCTGCAGACATACCACATGGGCCACCAAAACACAGATAGTCAGCAAGGGAAGGTGTTATTCGATTCCCGGTCAGGGCATATGCCCAGGTTGTGGGCCAAATCCCCAGTCGGCATGCAGGAGGTGGCCAATTGATGTTCTCTCTCATCGATGTTTTTATCTCTCCCTACCTCTCTCTCTAAAAATCAATAAAAAATTAAATAAAAAACAACAACAAAACCAATGTGAGACACATCACTTGGCTGCCTTCCACACATGCCCAGACTGGGGCTGGAGATTGAATCTGCCACCCTGGTATATGCCCTTGAATGGGAATTGAACCTGCAACACTTTGGTGTGCAGGCCAACACTCTATGCACTGAACAACACTGTCCAGGGCTCTGCTCAAGCTCTGAACTTGGCTCCCAGGCCCCTGTCCTGTCTCTGTCTTCCCTTGTGCACCACTGAAGATCTGGAAACATGGGCACTGAAAGCTTGTCAATAAGAGACTGTTGTTCTCAGCTGTCTTCTGTGCCAGATTCTGGCTGTGCTCAGCTTTGAATGTCACATCAAAAGGCTGGGGTTACCCCTCCCATTTTATGGGTTAGAAAATAGGTACAGAGATGTTGAGAATCTTAGGTTACACAGCTGGTGAGGGCAGAGCTGAGACTCACACCCTCTAGGGACTGATCTGGAATCCATATGTACCACTGATGCTGACCCGGCAGGCAAGGTCAGCAAGGAGAGCGTGAGGGAGACCAGGTGCCCAGACCGAGCCAGGCACAGGTACATGCGCTTGTCCCTCCCTGGCTTTCACATCTGAGGCTACAGAGGTCGTAGGAAACCAGGAGGGGATCCGAGCGAAGCCAAAGGAGGAGGGTAGGGAGCTTAGCAGGAGAACTGACACCACTTCCCAGAAGTCCAGGGAATTTTCCAAACATGGTAAGCCTGTCTCAAATCCCTCTCCCTGGGCAGTAACCTAACTAGATTGATTCCAAACTAACACCTTTCCAGGGGTTGAGTTTCTGTGGCCCTCCTGGAACTCTCAGCTTTCGGTGATGAGGAAAGAATGAGGTAGGTGGGCTTCAGAATTGTACAGACAAAAAATTTATTAGAGCAGGAGGCCAAACAACATGTAGATTGGTGCTGACATCCCTGTAGCACTTAAAAGAACTGTTTATCTCATCTTTTGTTGTGAAATTGGAGGATTTGTTTAACCAGTTACCTCTGTACTAATTACACTCTTGGGGGTGGTAAAGGGCCATTAGACTTCCTCTAAAGTTCCCTCAGAGCAGGGGTATGAAGGGTGTAGTGGCTGCATTTTTCCTATGGCTGTTAAGGTGCAATTTATGCTAATGACTCACTCACCCTCCCTGCAACTATAAGGCTTCTCTGAGTGTGTCCTCTGGTGTGTGATGAGATGTGACTTCCGTGTAAAGCCTCGCCCACACTCCCTGCAAACATAGGGCTTCTCCCCTGAGTGTGTCCTCTGGTGTGTGATGAGATCTGACTTCTGTGTAAAGCCTCGCCCACACTCCCTGCAAACATAGGGCTTCTCCCCTGAGTGTGTCCTCTGGTGTGTGATGAGATGTGACTTACATGTAAAGCCTCGCCCACACTCCCTGCAAACATAGGGCTTCTCCCCTGAGTGTGTCCTCTGGTGTGTGATGAGATGTGACTTACATGTAAAGCCTCGCCCACACTCCCTGCAAACATAGGGCTTCTCCCCTGAGTGTGTCCTCTGGTGTGTGATGAGATTTGACTTACATGTAAAGCCTCGCCCACACTCCCTGCAAACATAGGGCTTCTCCCCTGAGTGTGTCCTCTGGTGTCTGATGAGATTTGACTTCTGTGTAAAGCCTCGCCCACACTCCCTGCAAACATAGGGCTTCTCCCCTGAGTGTGTCCTCTGGTGTGTGATGAGATCTGACTTACATGTAAAGCCTCGCCCACACTCCCTGCAAACATAGGGCTTCTCCCCTGAGTGTGTCCTCTGGTGTCTGATGAGATTTGACTTACATGTAAAGCCTCGCCCACACTCCCTGCAAACATGGGGCTTCTCCCCTGAGTATGTAATGAGATGTGACCCATCACTGAGGCCTTGCCCATACCCTCCATACTTGATTGTTACAATTCCTACTCCCACAAATAATTTGCCTGTGTCCTCTGGATTCACTTTCTGGCCTTTGCTGGGCTCTTCCTTTATCATTCTCTCATGCTCAATAGAGCTCCCCAGTTGTCTGTTAGGAGGATTGCAAAAGACCCTTGAAATTCTCCTCTGCCTGATCCTTTTAAGAAAAGGTTTGGACCTTTCTTTGACCTCTTGACCTTCAGCTTTGTCATTCCAGCTGTGTGTATCAATATGTTGCTGCTGCTGATTCTGATCTGGGCAGTGTTCCTCTGATTGGAGGTGTTTTCTTGCAGATGTTCCTGGTCGAATCTCAGAGGGGTGATTGTGTTTCACATGCTGGCTGAGGAATTTCTGATTGGAGAAGGCCATAAAGCAGAATAGACATGGGTGGATATATGGCTTTGGTTCTGCTGAAAGAGAAAGTTTTATCAGGTCAGGTGTTGACAAGGCTACTGGGCTGTATGCTTTGTCTCCTAGTAGGACCTGTAGCATGAATCATTCTTACTGTGTTGACAATGCAAACTGTGTCTCCCACAGTGTTCCTTCACAGGCTATTTTTTTTTTTTCCATTTTGTATGCACTATATCTGCAGAACTCCAGAAAGCCCATATCAAAGATTTTTTCTACATATTGCCAGTTTAGGGACTTTCAAGTAGCCTCATGACTGTTTCACTCCTTGTATGGATGAAACTGCAGTGACCTTTCCATATTCATGTATCTTCTAAGTCACGTTAAAGAGAAAAACCATAGGCCCCCAACTAGGAACTGCTTCTCTTTCAGTTTTCCACAAATCATAAAATGAAAATATAGCCTTCCACAAGCCTTACACCAAGTAATCAGACTTGATTTCATTCAGTGTTAGCCCATTTCAAATACAATAGGAAGTCTGGTTTCAAAGTATTTACCCAACCATACTTCCTACACACCTGACTCCTATCCCTGTCCAGCCAATCTACCATCCTCCCTTGCTTGGAGATGAGGTGATCTCTGAGGGCATTCCCCACTGAAGTTTATTTTCCAGAAATTAACAAAGCACAATCTTAGAACAGAGAACACACCAGTGTGCTGCGGGAAACAGCACAATTGTCCCATCTCACTCAGGAAAGTCCCCAGTGTCTCAGCTCGGGTCATAGGCACTGTTTTTCCAGGCTGCTAGGCATCTATCCGATCTCTGTTCTTACCCTGTATACTGAGACTAAGACTGGAGTGGCCCTCATTCGGCTCGATGCCCCACCTCTTTCCTTCCCTGCACTAGCTGCTCCCCCTATAGAGGAGCCTTTGCCCACAGGTATTTTTTTGCAAATGTTATCTTCGGAGAGGACCCTTCCCTGACCAACTGCCACACCACATCCTCCTCTTACAGTGATTCCCAGGCACCTGTCCTGGATCCGTTTTCTCCAAAGCACTAACGGCTGTGTAATATTATGCACACATGCATGCTGGGTTTCCCTCCTTCACCCGTCTGCTGCTCATTGTGTAAATCGGTATTTCCAGCTCCTGGAACACTGTGTGACAGAGTATGAACTGACATGACAACTAACTGAATTAATGAATGAATGCATATTAACATACACTTTTCATTTAGAAACATGGAGGACATTTAGAAGCAGCAGCTAGAATGGGTCAGAAAAAAACTGCCTTTACCCTGGCCGGTTTGGCTCACCTGTTAGAGCGTCAACCTGGGGTCCAGAGAGACCCGGGTTCAGTTTCCGCTAAGGGCATGTACTTCGGTTGCAGTTTGTCCCCAGCCCTGGTTGGGTCGTGCGGGAGGCAGCCACTGGATATGTCTTTTTCATGTCGATGTTTCTCTCTCTCTCTCTCTCTCTTCCTCTCTCTCCTTCCCACTCTATCTGAACAAAAAATGGAAACATTTCCTTGAGTAAGGATAAAAAAAAAAAAGAAAAGAAAAAACTGCCTTTGTGAGAGAGCCAGTAAGTGCTTGAAAATTTGTTGGTGTTTTGACTCTAAGCCTTTCAGCACTATATGCTGTTGTGTGTTTTGTGCATGAAGTATTTAAAAAATGATAACAAAAATTAAAAGTATAAGACTGATGCCCTGGACGGTTTGGCTGAGCGGTTAAAGTGTCTGCCTGTAGACCAGAGAGTCCCAGGTTTGGTTCCTGCTAAGGGCATGTACCACGGTTGCAGTTTGTCCCCAGCCCCAGTTGTGGTGGTGTGGGTGGCAGCTGGTTGATGTGTCTCTCTCATGTTGATGTTTCTCTCTCTCTCTTCCTCCATCTCTCCCTCCTGCTCTATCTGAAGATAAATGAAAATAATGTCCTCAGATGAGGATAAAAATAAAATAAAATCCATAAAAACATAAAAATTTAAAAAAGTGTAAGACTTATTCCTAAGAGTCAAAGACCTATGTAAAGAATCATTAATTTATGAAGCATCTGATTTGAAACTCGACTGACTTTAGAGTGCATTTTACTGTACTTCAGAGCGGGACCATGATAATTTCTAAGGAGAAATCTCTTTCTTTCCACTTTGAAGAAGAAGAGTGGTGCCCACCTCTCCCAGCCGCGAGCTCTGTCTTCCACTTGCTGCCCCACTTGATGCCCAGCTCTTGGCCGTACTCTTCCCCATACCAGACCAGCAGCTCACAGCCCGTCCTGATGACCTGGCAGGTTCGGTAGAAAATCTGCCTGTGATATTGAAAGGCCACTAGGTTCTGCTCTTCATCATCCCGGGCGCAGTTCACATACCTGGGATTTAGTCAAATGAAAAGGAAGAAAGTCACAGGCAATGAGTTCCATGTCAGATCCATGTCCAGCTCCTCACCTAAAGTCCTGATGCTCTGATGTTGCCTACTCCCCACAACACTCTTGGGGAACTTTCTTTTCAATATCTGAGCCTCTGCCACAGGGTCATGTGAATTCCTATCTCCAAGTCCTGCTTACAGTAATCATCCTGCCCAATTCCATTTTTCAAAGCCCGATTCCAGACAACCTCTACCCTGATTGTCCATAAAGCCCTAGATTCTCTAAGCTCTAAATTAGGTTCAGTTTAATACCACAGAACTTGGTGCTTGATCTAGGACTCTGCTTCTAGATTAGCTTACATCATTCAATACTCAGCTTGTCTATCTCTTCTTGAGGGGCATTTCTCCAGTCTCCCCACACTTCATTTAAGGTGTTATTCACTTGCCTCCCCTAGGTTCCCACAGAAGATTGGAGGTTTCTTTGTCTTAGCAAAATAACACAGAACAACAGTAGTTTATTCACAATCTCTATCCCCTGATAAAAGAGAGCCCCTTGTGAAATGGGCCTATGATCATTATTACTCTGCAGGCTTAAAACCCAATTCTAGTTAGAACTGGAGCTGGAATGATTTGCTGCCCTCACAGGTTTAGGCTATGCTTGGTTTACGCTATCCGGGCACTGTGCTCTTCTCAAAAAATAGAAAAATTACAGTTAAATATTTATTTTAAAAATGTTTTTGTTGATTTTTTAGCGAGAGAGGAAGGGAGAAAGAGACAGAAACATCAATGTGAGAGAGATACATCCATTGGCTGCCTCCTGCACACCACCTACCCTGGGCTGATCCCGCAACCCAGGCATGTACCCTGACTGGGAATTGAACCAGGACCTCTCAGTCCATAGGGACGACGCTCAATCCACTGAACAACTCTGGCCGGGCGAGAGTTACATATTTATAAAACCATTTTTTTTTTTTAATCCTCACCTGAGGACATTTTTCCATTTTTTGTTCAGATAGAGTGGGAGGGAGAGAGAGAGAAATATCGATGTGAAAGGGACACATCAAGTGGTTGCCACTCTCACGACCCAACCAGGGCCTGGGACAAACTGCAACCGAGGTATGTGCCCTTAGCAGGAACCGAACCCGGGTCTCTCTGGACCACAGGCCGATGCTCTAATCTCTGAGCTAAACCGGCCAAGGCATAAAACTAATTTTTTTATATCTGTCTGCAGTAAGTCCTACATAAGGACATGGGTTGTGTAATCTTTTTTTAAAAAATTTATTTTGGCCCCGGCCGGTTTGGCTCAGCGGTTAGAGCATCGACCTGCAGTCCGGAGAGATCCGGGTTCGGTTCCCGCTAAGGGCACGTACCTTGGTTGCAGTTTGTCCCCGGGCCTGGTTGGGTCGTGTGGGTGGCAACCACTCGATGTGTCGCTTTCACGTCGATGTTTCTCTCTCTCTCTCCCTCTCACTCTATCTGAACAAAATATCGAAAAATGTCCTCGGGTGAGGATAAAACAAAAATTTATTTTGTTTTATCCTCATCCGAGGACATTTTTGGTATTTATCTTCAGATAGAGCAAGAGAGAGAGGGAGGAAGAGAGAGAGAGACCCCACATAACCTCAACTAGGGTCGGGGACAAACTGCAACCGGGGAACCGAACCTGGGACTCTCTGATTCACGGGCTGACACTCTAACCGCTGAGCCAAACCAGCCAGGGCTGGTTGTGTGATCTTTTTAAGTAATGAATACCTTCATCTAAACTGGAACATGTAAATGCTTAACTAATGTTCATTAGATAAATTGTAATCCAGTGTCCCTGCTGAGTCTAGGGTTCTCAAAGTTATGTTTTTTTTTTTCCCCTTTACTGATTTTACAGAGAGAGGAAGTGAGAGGGATAGAGAGGTAGAAACATCAATGAGGCAGAACATTGACTGGCCGCCTCCTGCATGCCCTCCACCGGGGATCAGGCCCACAACCTGGGCATGTGTCCTGTCTGGGAATCGAACCGGTGACCTTTTGGTGCATGGGTCGAGGCTCCATCACTGAGCGACACCAGCCGGACATTCAATGTTTTTACTAGTGCCCAAATTTTGTCTAGCACAGAGATTTGTATTTTGAGGGCATATGCTATACTTTTATCTCTTTTCTAAACATCAAGCAATTTGAAAAACACTGTGGAAAAAAAAAAAAATAAGAGGAATAGAGGATTGTGGGAGAACCACTGCGGGAGACGTGATGGGAATGAAAGATATGTGGGCTTTGAGGTGAGTGTTGTCTCTGGCACCCAAAAACCTATCAACATTACCTCATCCAGTTGGCCCAGGATTCATCCTTTCCATCCACATACTCATAGCAGTTTCTCCCTTTGGTGATCTGCATTTTAGGAAAAGAAGTTAAAGCTGTTTATTTTTATTTTTGGTGGGGAGGTAATATTCAGAAGGATTATTTTACTCTATTGTCATCAAATTTCTTTCAGCCTGCCTGGGGATTCAACTGTCAATGATGACCACACGGTATTTTTCTTACTCATCATCAACACGTCTGAATCGATTTGTCCACTTAGAGCAGGAGCCCCACAAGGGAGGAGCCACTCCTCTGTGTGTGTACCACTTACCCTCTGATCCTTAAACAGGAGCTCTATGTTCAAGCAAAGTCCATTCAGTACACAGGGCTAACCGTATCCCCACTCATGTCCTAGCATGTAGAAAGAAGGTGGGGTCCCACCAAACCGCAGGAAGGGTGTGGGAAGCCAGAGGAAAGGGGAAAAGGTAAACGCTTCTCACCAGCCAGGAGTATCCACTGTTGGCTGCCTCTTCATCTTCTGTGATCTGGCCCTCGTAAGGGCCAAAGTGCAGGCCCACTGGCAGATCAGATGCCTCATTCCACACTCCAAGCCCAGCTTCAGGGATGCCCGATGCTCTGATTTTCAGTCCAGGGGGCAGAGTGAGAGCTGAGTGGTTGGGATGCCCCTTGTCCACTGCACTGTCTTTTATAAATGTAGGAGGTCCATGCACAGCACAGCTGTCAATGAAGAAGTTCTGACACTTTTCACAATCTGGAGGTGAAAGCAACAGGGATTAGAGACAGTATAGAGCATGTTCTTGGACATAAAGAGCTTCAGAGAGAACCCAGGCACTCACATCATTGAGCCTCAATCTTGTAGTCCTGGTCACCAGAGGAAAGGAATGATTTGGGGACCCAATAACCAGATGAATAATTTATGAAGACATATTCTTCTTGGTGAGGGTCACTTACAGAGGTAGTCATCGTCCTGGGGCTCGTTGACCTCTTGGTACACATGGCCCTTTCTTTCTCGTAGGCTATACATCTTAACTTCAATCTCCTTTCTTCTTAGTTCTAAGTTGGAAAAGAGCAGGTGAATGAGGGTGGTGGGGTCTGGAGTGTTAGTCCCTGTTTTGTCAGAAAACAATCTCCTCCCCTCAAATTATCACCTGTCTTTCTATCTATTCTGGTATTTTCCTGCATTAACTAAGAGAGACTAAGACTCCACACTGACTATCGAAGGCCAATTCAATTTTAGTTTCTATATTTTCTCATTATCAGATTCAATTTTCCAACCTGTATTCATTCATAAAATATTTATGGAGGGTACATTATATGTTATGTATTGAGTAAAGGTCTGGGCATATAACTCCAAGAAAGTATGATTGTTATTAGCACAGATGGATTTATTGGACAACTTGCATGTTTCAGTTGTTTTAAATTTAATTTAATGCTTTCAAACAATATATGAGTTATATGTCCCTATCTTCACTTTAAATATGAGCAGTCAGAAGTTCAGAGAATATATAAGATTTGCTCAAAGCTCCAGTGCTAACTTCAGTCTCAGCTTAGTCTTCAGTCTAGGCCTATGCAAAGTCTACCTCACATACCTAGGCCATACTTACCAGCCTTTCTAGAGGACTTAGAGGAAGTAAAATCTTCAAATTACTTGTTCTTACCCAGTTTTTGTCTAGAGTGATGTCCAGAGGTACTTGCTTCTCCAGAAGGGGACACTGGTTTCTGGGCCTGCTCTGAGCCATTTTTGGTCAGCAAATTTCCTGTTTCTGACAATTCCTTCAAACTAGATTCATTACTTAATGGTGTCCTGGACATTGCCTTCAATGTGAAAGTCATATTAAAAGATAACATATATTTCATTAATGCTTTAAGGCTTACAATATATTTTCACATGCATGACTTTAATTAATACTTCAACAACCCTTGGAAATACCTGGGGATCATGAATATTAGAGGGAGAAGTAAGGGCCTATGTGGGTAGTGAATCTAAGAGTAGAACCCATGCCTTAAGGCTCTTTCCTTTCAACTTTATAATGTGAGAGTCAAAGATATTGGGAAGAGAATAAATAAATAGTTGGGCCCCCACTGGTGTGGCTCAGTGGATTGAGCCCATGAACTGAGAGGTCCCAGTTCAATTCATAGTTGGGGCACATGCCTTGGTTGTGGGCTCAATCCCCAGTAGGGGGTGTGCAGCAGGCAGCCAATCAATGTGCCTATCTCACATAGATGTTTTTCTCTCTCTCTCTCCCTTTCTCTTTCTCTAAGGAAATCTATAAAAACATATTTTAAGAAAAAAAAAATAGTTGGGCCCTGGCTGGTTGGATCAGTGGGTAGAGCATTGGTCCATGCACTGAAGGGTCACGGGCTCAATTCCTGGTCAAGGGCATGTATCTGGTTTGCAGGTTTGATCCCTGGCCCAGGTTGGGGCACATTCTGGAGGCAACAAATCTATGTGTGTGTCTTACATCGATGTTTCTGTCCTCTTTCTCCCCCTCCCTACCTGACTCCCACTCTCTCTAAAAAGCCGTGGAAAAAATATTCTTGTATGAGAAATGCAAAAAAAAAAAAAAAAAAAGGAAATAGTTGGCAGAAACACATATAGAGAATAAAGAAAATGGTGTTAAATTTGCAAATGTCTGTATCATGGAGAGAATATTTGTGATTAGATTAGCTGGCTCCCACCAATTCTGTTGGAATAAGGTTATACCACAAGCTGTCTCATCAGTTTTCTGATTTATGACATGTTAATTCTTTTAAAAAAATGGTTTTTTTCCCTTTATTGATTTTAGAGAGAGAGAAAGGGAGGAGAGAGAGATAGAAACATAGATGAGAGACAACATTGACAAGCCGCCTCCTGCTTGCCCTCCACTGGGGATTTGGCCCACAACCTAGGCATGTGCCCTGACTAGGAATTGAACTGGCGACCTCTTAGTGCATGGGTCGACGCTAAACCATTGAGCCACAGCAGCCGGACTAACATGCTAATTCTTTTTTTTTAAATTCTCACCCAAGGACATTTTTTTTTTTTTTTTTTGCATTTATCTTCAGATAGAGCATGAGGGAGAGAGGGAGGAAGAAAGAAACATTGATGTGAGAGAGACACATTGACTGGCTGCCACCCACACGACCCTAACCAGGCCAGGGACAAACTGCAACCAAGGTACGTACCCTTAGAGGAAACCTAACCTCTGAGCTGAACTGGCCAGGGCTAACATGCTAATTCTTTAAGAAAAAATTTTTTCTTTATTGATTTTTAGAGGGAGAGAAAGGTAGAAGGAGAGAGAGAGACAGAACCATTGATTTTTTTTTATCCTCACCCGAGGACAGTTTTCCATTTTTTGTACAGATAGAGTGGGAGGGAGAGAGAGGAAGAGAGAGAGAGAGAAACATCGATGTGAAGGGACACATCGAGCGGCTGCCACCCGCACGACCAACCAGGGCCGGGGACAAACTGCAACCAAGGTACATGCCCTTAGCGGGAACCGAACCCGGGTCTCTCTGGACCGCAGGCAGACGCTCTAACCGCTGAGCCAAACTGGCCAGGGCGACAGAACCATTGATGAGAGAACATCAATTGGCCGCCTGCAGCATGCTCCCCACTGGGGATTTGGCTCACAACTTGGGCATGTGCCCTGACCAGGAATTGAACCGGCGACCTCCTGGTGCATGGGTCAATGCTCAATCACTGAGCCAAACTGGCTAGTTCTTAATGTCATAGTGAACATGAAATATAATGACGTTCACCAAAGCGTTTTGTGAGCTATTTAATACAGTATGAATGTGAGATTACAGTTCTGCTGTCAATTTACCTGTCAGCCATCTCCATATTTGAAATCACACATAAATTATCTTCAGTATTAATTGACCCCCTTCTAGTTTAATTTGTAAAAATGAAATCATTCAACACACATTCTGGGGCCCCTGAACTGAGCCTGGGACTTCTGAGAAGAATCCGGTATGAACCAGTTCCCCAAAGAGCTCACAATGCAGAGATAGGCAGGCTGTCCCCTCCAAACAAGATGAGACAGACCTAAATAGAGCTCAGAGAAAGAAGTTGCTACTTCCTTCTATAGGAAAGGGCATTTAAAATCAGTTCTGGATGGATGAGTTTCTATTGAATAGTGTGTAACCTATATGATTAGTGTGTAACGTATATGAAGTCCTTAAGTCATTTTATTATTTGTTTTTTCTTAATCATCAAACCTGAAGCTCCTCAGGGATGGGAGATACTTTCTTTTATTAGAGCAGGAGGCTGCGATGCTGGGGAACCTATATCCTTGTTCATCTGGGACCATGCACTGCACAAGCTGCCTATATGTCAGTTTTCCATCAGTCAGAGGATCTTAGTGAATCTCTCACTGTAGCACAGCAGAAAAGAGCTGCATTTGGAGTCACCAGTCAGGTGAATGGTGTAATGATATATGGATAAGACAATGTAAACTTTATAAAACTGTGAAAGTTTTAATGAGTTTGTAAGTGGTTTAGAGAAGAAGCTATGGATTAGATTGCACTACCACTGATACTGTGATTTCAGACATATAATCCAACATTTCTCTATGTCCAAAACCTCAGTTTCCTCTTTGTAAATGGTGATAGTTATAGGATCTACTCCTAGGGTTGTGGTAGGGTTTGAGTGTCTTCACGTAGAATTCTTAAAGTGTGAAACATTGTGAAAATAAAACAAGTGGTAGCTACTATTGTTGCTGTTGTTATTAACTATTAAGATAATGATGTCAGCCCTGGCTGGTTTGGCTCAGCGGTTAGTGTTGGCCTGCAGACCAGAGAGACCCAGGTTTGGTTCCTGCTAAGGGCATGTACCTCAGTTGCAGTTTGTCCCTGTCCCCGGTTGGGGTTGTGTGGGTGGCAACCATGCAATGTGTCTCTCTCACATCAATGTTCCTGTCTCTGTCTTCCTCCCTCTCTCCTTCCCACTCTATCTGAAGATAAATACAAAAATGTCCTCGGGTGAGGATAAAAAAAAAAAAAAAAGTTAATGATATCAGACATTGTATTGAAGAGATTGGGAAAGGAAGGCAGTAGTTCCTAGGATACTCTCTGCATTTTCCTACTCTTACCTGCATTTGTATCCATGAGGAAGATTTTCTTGTCAACAGGATTTAGAAAATACTCACCTTCTGGTGTTGATTTTGTTCCACTGTGAAGGACACCCAAGAAGGTTTGACTAAAAGATAATAAGAAGCCATTGTTTTGGTTGGTAATTGTTTCAAAAATTTGGAGATTTTTAGTAGGAAGACATAATTCTGAATCAGAGAATAATCTAAAGACAATCAATCCATGGATGATTGGAAAATGTTTTTTTTTTTTGAGGTTTCATTAAGGCCTATGGTTCTGTTGGGGACATCAACTAATTGTCTTAAAATGTTAAAAAAAAAATAGACAAAGTGTAATGTATGAGTTATGCTATGTTTATATGGTTTCTAGTACATTTATATAAAAATAAAATTGGCCTTTCATGAAAAAAATAATAAGGTCATGTAACATCTTGACTTCAGCAGCGTTTCAACCCCAAACCCATGAAAGCAGGACCACCCTACCAACCACACCCTCATGAAACTAGATAGAATGATGCCCTGATTGACATCAGGACCTGATACAGTGATGAACTATTTCCTACCCTGGCCTAGAACCCTTAATCACCATAATTAATAATTTTTCCCATATGTCCCCTTTCAGGCCGTTGGGCATCCAGGTCTTAGACCACTGATTCCCTGCCAGACCTTCCTATTTCTGTTGTGATGGTAACTATTCTGAATTTGTTATTTCTTATTTACTTTTATATTTTTATACATTTACTGCTTATTAGTGTAACTATAAATATAACTGATTTATTTATTTTTATCTAGAGGGTATGTTTATTAAAGCTGGGGACAGTGAAACAAGGATGGGCTTAGGTCAGAAGCAGCAACAGGATAGCCCATGTGGGGCTGCTTTGGCTCACTGGAAAGATAGAGAAATGGGATCTTGGAGACAGGTTCAGGGGGTTAGCCCAGGATGAGCTGCTGCTGCCCATTGCTCTACTGGTTGCCAGTCTCCTAGGGTCCATTATAGATTAGGAGATGCACGCCTGTGGGGGAAAAAGAGGGGGAAGGGAATGGCACGGGGTGCTCTGGGAGGGAGAGGTCTCTCTCTCTCTCTCTCTCTCTCTCTCTGTATTTGGTGAGGGCTGGGTGGGGAGGTGGGCAAATAGGGAAAATGAGGTAGCTCTGAAATACTGTCAACAATAAAAAGATATGATTATTTTACACATGTAAAGAGTTTGTATGAATAGCCCCTTATGGAACAATACAGTTTCGTACCTCGATTGTTTGCTGAAAAAACAAACACGGTTTCCTTGGTAACTTCTGAGCTGCAGCCCCACCTAAACCCAGGTCCATTTCAGGAGGGCACCTCTGAATCCTCCCGGGGCCTCACCTTGCTGCCTTGGAGTCCATTCTTCATCAGAGTCCTCAGCGTCTTCCACCTGGGGTTTGGCGGCCTGCCTGCGGTGACACATGAAAGCTGGTCGAGGGGCTCTGAGACCTGGAAAGAGACAAAGCCTTTGTCCTGAAAGCGATCAGCCTGAAGGAGGAACAAACACCTCAAAGCCAGAGCACTGGCTCCCGTGGGATGGGGGGGGGGGGGGGGTAGAAGAAGGCGTGAGCTCTGCATGGTCAGTGCCAGTCCCACAGTGACACAAAGGAGCGACGGGCACCCGATTGGCGCCCACCCTGGAGGGAGCAGAAGCAGAACCGTGCGAGAGAGCTAGCCCGGTGCACTCCCGCCTCCCGGGCTCCGCGCCCGCTCGCGCCCGCACCTATGTGCAGCAGTGCTTCGTAGTTCCTCTTCACGTTCCTGTACCGGGCTTTCTCCCATTGTCCCATCTCTGCCCACTCTTCCCGGGAGAAGTAGACAGCAATGTCTTTGAAAGCATCTCTGGCCTAAAGCAGATGATAGATGCCGTCAACCACTCACAAATGCAATGAGAAGTGGGAGCCGGGCCTTCTCCACCGCGGGTGCGTGCGGGGCGGGGCGGGGGCCGAGGCTTCTGTGGGCTCCGGGAGTCTGAGCGAAGCTCTCCGACCTCCGTCACCCCCACCCCGCCTGGTGCCCGGCTCCTGAGCGCACTATGGGCCTTCCTTCCCCCAGCGGAGCCCCGACCCGCCGCCGCCCGCGCCCCGTTCTCCCCGCGCCACCGAGGGCACCCCAGTGCTGGCCCCACGCTCCCCGGGGACCCCCGTCTCTCACCTTGGGCTTCCACCCGGCTCTTCCCGCTTCTCCCTCGGGGCTCTCCTGCGGGCACCTGTTGGGGTTCATGGTGGTGCGACCCTCAGTGCGCCAGCCGAGGCCACGGTGCCTGAGGAAGGAGAAGGTGCTGAGGGGGTGACAGCCCGTTTCCCCGAATGGCAGGGCGTCGAGATGGGAAGACGCGGACCCAGCCAGGTGCAGGGACGGATGGGACGGAGGACGGGACACCGAGACTGTGACCAGGGCAGCAGAGGGGCCCTGAGGTTGATGGCCGGGGGTCCGAGGGGGAGGCCAGGGGTCTGAGTGTCCCGAAGGGGAGGCCCGGGGTCTGCGGGGGAGGCCGGGGGTCTGAGGGGGAGGCCGAGGATCTGAGGGGGAGGCCGGGGGTCTGAGGGAGAGGCCGCGGGTCTGAAGGGGAGGCCGGGGGTCTGAGGGAGAGGCCGGGGGTCTGAAGGGGAGGCCGGGGGTCTGAGGGGGAGGCCGGGGGCCCCAGGGGGAGGCCAGGGGTCTGAGGGAGAGGCCGGGGGTCCGAGGGAGAGGCCGCGGGTCTGAAGGGGAGGCCGGGGGTCTGAGGGAGAGGCCGGGGGTCTGAAGGGGAGGCCGGGGGTCTGAGGGAGAGGCCGGGGGTCTGAAGGGGAGGCCGGGGGTCTGAGGGAGAGGCCGCGGGTCTGAAGGGGAGGCCGGGGGTCTGAGGGGGAGGCCGAGGATCTGAGGGAGAGGCCGGGGGTCTGAGGAAGAGGCCGCGGGTCTGAAGGGGAGGCCAGGGGTCTGAGGGGGAGGCCGAGGATCTGAGGGGGAGGCCGGGGGTCTGAGGGGGAGGCCGGGGGTCTGAGGGAGAGGCCGGGGGTCTGAAGGGGAGGCCGGGGGTCTGAGGGGGAGGCCGAGGATCTGAGGGAGAGGCCGGGGGTCTGAAGGGGAGGCCGGGGGTCTGAGGGGGAGGCCGAGGATCTGAGGAAGAGGCCGCGGGTCTGAAGGGGAGGCCGGGGGTCTGAGGGGGAGGCCGAGGATCTGAGGGGGAGGCCGGGGGTCTGAGGGAGAGGCCGGGGGTCTGAAGGGGAGGCCGGGGGTCTGAGGGAGAGGCCGGGGGTCTGAAGGGGAGGCCGGGGGTCTGAGGGGGAGGCCGAGGATCTGAGGGAGAGGCCGGGGGTCTGAGGAAGAGGCCGCGGGTCTGAAGGGGAGGCCGGGGGTCTGAGGGGGAGGCCGAGGATCTGAGGGGGAGGCCGGGGGTCTGAGGGGGAGGCCGGGGGTCTGAGGGAGAGGCCGGGGGTCTGAAGGGGAGGCCAGGGGTCTGAGGGAGAGGCCGCGGGTCTGAAGGGGAGGCCGGGGCTCTGAGGGAGAGGCCGGGGGTCTGAAGGGGAGGCCGGGGGTCTGAGGGGGAGGCCGAGGATCTGAAGGGGAGACCGGGAGTCTGCGGGGGAGGCCGGGGGTCTGAGGGAGCGTCCGGGGGTCTGAGGGGGAGGCCGAGGATCTGAGGGAGAGGCCGGGGGTCTGAGGGGGAGGCCGGGGGTCTGAGGAGCCCGAGGGTGAGGCTGGGAGTCTGCGGGGGAGGCCGGGGGTCTGAGGGGGAGGCCGGGGGTCTGAGGGAGCGGCCGGGGGTCTGAGGGGGAAGCCGGGGGTCTGAGGGGGAGGCCGGGGGTCTGAGAGGCCCGAGGGGGAGGCCGGCTGTCGGGTTTTGAGGGGAGAGGCCAGGTGTGAGAGGGCCCCGGGGCGAGGCCAAGGAACCCTGAGAGGCACAGCCGGGATGTCAGTGATCCTGAGGGGCGCGACCCCGCGGCTTAGGGGTCCTGAGGAGTGAGGCTGGTGGCGCCCTGATGTCTGGGAGGGGCTGTACTGGCGACAGAAACGGGGTTTTAGAATTCCACCTGGCCTAGTGTCTAAGGGCCAGAGGAGACTTGGGGTCCCTCAGGACAAGGTGTGGTTCTTTCCGGCCGAGGACGTTTAGGGTGGTCGGGGTGAGAGACTTGGGGACTTTGGAGGCTGAGGCCATTTGGGGTCTCTCACTAAGGGGCTTCAGGCTACTTGATACTGAGTTTCCAGCACCGGGCATTCCAGGTCTCCGTGTTGGGGGAAATGTGGTCTTTCTGGGCGTGCATGGTTTAGGGTGCCCGGGCTGAGGGGAATGGTGGTTTTCATGGTGTTTGAGGGTATAATTGGTGGATTTAGGGTTCATCTGGGCTAGGAGACTAGGTCCTCCGGGATAGTGGACTTGGGGTCCCTCGAGACTGACGGGACTTGGAGCCTCTCAAGATGGAGGCATTCAGAACCTCTTAGGCCTGAACCTGAAGGTCTCGGGCTAAGGGTTTCGCCTGGTAAGGTCCCCGTTTTCCTGTCAGTCTCCCGCTCTCCAGCCGCGCTGCCCACCCTGGCCCGAGCGCCCTCTCCGAGCCCCGCACGCTGCCCGCCCTCAGCGGGTGTGAGCCGCGGAGGCAAGGCTTCCGCAGGAATAGCGGCGTCTGGCGCAAGCCGCCAATCAGTGCTGCGATCACCGGGGGTATAGGGTGGAGTCTGCCTGTCAGTCAAGGGCAGAATGCCGGGGTTGGTTCAGGAGGGCGGGTCTTCACAACCTGTGGAAACCCCGCCTTACCCATCAATGATTGGCAGCAAGTGCCTGTCAGGTAGCCTTCAGCGAGTACACGCGGCTTGACAGTTTCCAAGGCTTGTTTTGGAGCGGGGTTGGTGAGGGACTGTTCCGTCAGGAGCTGGAATCCCCGAGCTGGGGCAGGTCTTTAGGGTTGACGTGGCCTTCCTGGCACCTGACAGAGTCTTCGTTTCACCATACTGTAATCAGGATCCCAAATATTCTCCAGGTCCATTTGTGCCCTTCCTTGTAAAACCCAGTTTTAGCAAGAACTATATAGTCGGCCCTCCTTTATCGTGGTTAATCAGTTCCAGACTCTACTGCGATAAATGAATTTCCGTGAAGTATGATTCTGTTTATAAATAGAATATTTTCGCAGTTAGAGCATAGAAAACCTGTTTACGACCTTCTAAATATGTTTTTTAACATCGTTAGAACCCTCTAGACATGAAATAACACCCTTTAGGCACTTAGTTTCATCGTCAGAAGGCTTAGAAGAAGCAGCACATTTAGGAGCCATCGTGGGGTTTAGATAAAAGTTCTCAGAAATCGCAAACACAAGAGCAAAGATTCTTCCCTTGGGAAGCGATGTAGAAGCCTATAAGAGGGAAAAGGACTTGCATGAGGCCGAGCCAATCAGTGGCCAGGATGGGGAGAGGATAGGCTAGCCAACCATGAAAAGCACGCTCTGATTGGCTTGGTTTCACCAGACCTGAATTTATGGAAAAATGTTATTGCCGGCACACAAGGAGTGGTCCAGAGGTTGCACCTGGCGTTGAAGGATTCCTGGGGTGCTCGAATACATATGCCTACAGTCCACATACAGTATTTTAAATTGTAATTGTAATACAGGGGTGTATAATTGACTCAGACAACTGAGCACATGCTGTATCATTTTCACTGTCTTGATCAACTTTTTAATGAATATATTTGAAAAAAAAAAACAACGCGATAGAGGGAAGTCGCGAACTTTGAAGCACAAAGTGGCGAGGGACGACTGTATAACCAGGCAGTGTGTGATGAAAACTGCATTACATATCAGGGGAAACTGTAAGTCAGTAAATTCTGAACATACTATTTGTAGACACAAAATAAGTCCCGTAGGGTTCAAAGATTCAAACACAACAAATGAAATAAATATAGTAGAAAAGGCACTGGGAGAATTTTAAATCTTAAAGAAGTGGCAATACGAGTAATAGGTATGTTTAAGTAATGTAGGTCTTAAAAGGTTTCAGAAGTAGCCCAACTGGTGTGGCTCAGTGGTTGAGCTTCAACCCATGCACCAAGAAGTCACTGGTTCGCCCTGGCCGCTTTGGCTCAGCGTTAGATCCTCGGCCTGCGGTCCGGAGGAGAGACCCGGGTTTCCCGCTAAGGGCATATACCTCGGTTGCCGTTTGTCCCCGGTCCTGGTTGGGTTGTGTGGGTGGCAGCCACTCGATGTGTCCCTTTCACATCGATGTCTCTCTCTCTCTCTCTCTCTCTCTCTCTCTCTCTCTCTCTCTCTCTCTCTTCCTTCCACTCTATCTCAACAAAATATTAAAAAATGTCCCCTGGTGAGGATTAAAAAAAAAAAAAAAAAAGGAAATACCCTCGGCTGAGGATTAACAACAGCAGCAGCAGCAGCATCAAAGAATGACTCAAAAAAAAAAAAAAAAAAAAGAAGTCACTGGTTTGATTCCCAGTCAGGGGCACATGCTCAGATTGAGGGCTCAATCCCCAGTGGAGACCATGCAGGAAGCAGCCGATCAATGTTGATGCTTCTCTGTCATTGATGTTTCTATCTCTCCCTCTCCCTTCCGCTGTCTCTACAAAAACAAAAATAAAAACAAAACTTTTCAGAAATAAAAAGACATAGATAAAACAAAACCAAACCAAAACCCCTGAAAAAACCCTTCAAGTGTTTTGTATTAAAATACAACATCAAATTTAAGGACAGGGGGGTCCACAGAAGAGGGTCAGTTTAACTGCTACTGGCTTTCACAAGATAAAATGAGAAGAGTGTTTCTGGCTCTTACCTAGTTTAGGTCACAGAAATATAATTTTCATGCATTGGAAATAAGCCAACTAATTGGAATTATTACTGTGAAATTCAATAAAGGGAAAGCTCACTAAAGTGGAGTTGGTGGGTCAGAAGTCAGCACTCTCACATAGCACAGCCCTGGTCAATTACTGGGAAAATTGTCAATTACAAGCCACAACAGGAAAGGTATAGTGTGTCTCCCAGGAGAAACCAACTCCACAGCAAATCAGCTAGTAAGAAACTAGCATCACCTTGAATGAACGCATTTCTCCAATGGACTTTTGTTCAAATTGATCTCTCCCAACTTCCTCCTTTCCCTCTATAAAATAACGTTCCTCTCCTTTACTTGTGGAATTTGCCTATGACTTTTCCTAGAGGTTGCTTGTCCTAAATTGCAATTCTTTACTGTTTCTGAATAAACCCATTTTTTGCTGGTAAAATAACCGACAGTTTTATTGTATTTATTTATTT